GTCTTCTTCGTCTTTCTTTTCTTCTTCTTCTTTCTTTTTCTTTCTTTCTCTTCTCTTCTTCTTTCTCTCTTTCTTTCTCTTCCTTCTTTCTTCTTTCTCTCTTCTTTCTCTTCTTCTTCTTCTTCTTTCTTCTTCTTCTTCTTCTTCTTCTTTCTTCTTCTTCTTCTTTTTTCTTCTTTCTTCTTCTTCTTCCTCTTTTCTTCTTCTTCTTTCTTTTGTCTTCTTCTTCTTGTTGTTTCTTTTCCTTCTTCTTCTCTTTCTTCTTTTCTTCTTCTCTTCCTTCTTCTCTTTTCTTCTCTCTCTTCTTTTCTTTCTTCTTTTCTTCTTTCTTTTTTCTTCTCTTTTCTTTCTCTCTTCTTTTTCTTCTCTTTCTTCTTTCTTCTTCTTTCTTCTTTCTTCCTTCTTTTCTTCTTCTCTCTTCTTCTTCTTCTTCTTCTTCTTCTTCTTCTCTCTTCTTCTTCTTCTTCTTCTCTTCTTCTTCTTCTTTCTTCTCTTTTTCTCTTTCTTTTCTTGTTTCTTCTTCTTCTTCTTTTCTTTCTTCTTTTCTTCTTCTTCTTCTTCTTCTTTCTTCTCTTCTTCTTTTTTCTTCTTTTCTGTTCTTCTTCTTCTTTTCTCTTTCTTCTTCTTCTTCTTCTCTTCTTCTTCTTCTTTCTTCTTCTTCTTCTTCTTTCTTCTTCTTCTTCTTTCTTCTTTCTTCTCTTCTTTCTTCTTCTTCTTCTTCTTCTTCTTCTTCTTCTCTTCTTCTTTCTTCTTCTTCTTTTTCTTCTTCTTCTTCTCAGTTCTTCTTCTTCTTTTATCTTCTTCTTTCTTCTTTTTCTTCTTCTTTTTCTTTCTTTTCTTCTTCTTCTTTTCTTTCTTCTTCTTCTTCTTTTCTTTCTTCTTTCTTCTTCTTTCTCTCTTCTTCTTCTTCTTCTTCTTCTTCTTCTTCTTTTCTTCTTCTCTCTTCTTCTTCTTCTATCTTCTTTCTTCTTCTTCTTCTTCTTTCTTCTTCTTCTTCTTTTTCTTCTTTCTTCTTCTTTCTTCTTCTCTCTCTCTTCTTTCTCTTCTTCTTCCTCTCTTCTTTCTTCTTTCTCTTCTTTTCTTCTCTTTCTTCTTCTTCTTTTTCTTTCTTTCTTTCTTTCTCTTCTTCTTCTTCTCTCTTCTTCTTCTTTCTCTTCTCTTTTTCTTCTTTCTCTTCTCTTCTTTCTTCTCTTCTTCTTCTTCTTCTTCTTCTCCTCATTTCTTCTTTCTTCTTCTTCTTCTTCTTCTTCTTCTTCTTCTTCTTCTTTCTTCTTTTCTCTTTTCCTCTCTTCTCTTCTCTTTCTTCTTTCTTCTTCTTCTATCTTCTTTCTCTTCTTCTTCTCTTCTTCTTCTTCTTTTCTTCTCCTTCTCTTCTTTCTTCTCTCTTCTTCTTCTTCTTCTTCTCTCTTTCTTCTTCCTTTCTTTCTTCTTCTCTCTTTTCTTTTCTTCTTTCTTCTTCTCTTCTCTTCTTCTTCTTTCTTCTCTTCTTTCTTTCTTCTTCTCTTCTTCTTCTTCTTTCTCTTCTCTTCTTTCTTCTTTCTTCTCTTTTTCTTCTTTCCTCTTCTCTCTTTCTTCTCTTCTTCTTCTTCTCTCTTTTCTTTCTTTCTTCTTCTTCTTCTTCTTCTTCTTCTTTCTTCTTCTTCTTCTTCTTTCTTCTTCTTCTCTTTCTTTTCTTCTGTTCTCTTCTTCTTCTTCTTCTTTTTCTTCTTTCTTCTTCTTCTTCTGTCTTTCTTCTTTCTTCCTCTTCTTCTCTCTTTCTCTTCTCTCTTCTTTCTTCTTCTTTCTTCTTTTCTTCTTTCTTCTCTCTTCTTTCTTTCTTTCTTCTTCTCTTCTTTCTTCTTTCTTCTTCTTCTTTCTTCTTCTTCTTCTCTTCTTTCTTCTTCTCTTCTCTTCTGCTTCTTCCTCTCTGTCTTCTTCTTCTTTCTTCTTCTTCTCTGTGCTTTCTTTCTTCTCTCTTTCTTTCTCTGTCTCTTTCTGTCTGTCTTCTCTCTTCGTCTTCTCTTTCTTTCTTTCTTCTCTTTCTTTCTTCTTCTGTCCTTTCTTCTCTCTCCTGTCTTCTTCTTCTCTTTCTTTCTTCTCTTCCTCTTCTCTGTTCATTCTTTCTTTTCTTCCTCTTTTCTTCTTTCTCTCATCTTCTTCTTCCATCTCTTTTCTCTCTTTCCTCTTTTCTTTTCTTAGTCTTCGCTCTCTTCTTTGGTTCTTCTCTTTCTTAACTTCTCTTCTTTCTTTCTCTCTTTCTCTTCTCCCTCTTCTTTCTTCTTTCTTACTTTCTTCATTTTCTTCTCTTTTCTTTCTCTCTTTCTCCTTCATTCTTCTCTTCATTTCTTTCTTTCTCTTCTTTCGTGTCTGCTTTCTTTCTTTTCTCTCTGTCTCGCTTTCTTTCCTTTTCTTCTCCTCGTTTCTTCTTTCTCTTCTTTCTCTCTTTTCTGTCTCTCTCTTTCTGTCTGTTCTTTTCTTTCTCTCCTTCTTCTTTCTGTCTGTCTTCTCTTCTTCTCTTGTCCTCTGTCTGTCTCTCGCTGTTTCTCTCTGTCTGTCTGTCTGTCTGTCTGTCGTCTGTCTCTGTCTGTCTGTCTCTCGTCTGTCTCTCTGTCTGCCTCTCTGTCTGCCCTCTCTGTCTGTCTCTCTGTCTGTCATCTCATGTCTGTCTCTCTGTCTGTCTCTCTGTCGGTCTCTCTGTCTGTCTCTCTGTCTGTCTCGCTGTCCTGTCTCTCTGTCTGTCTCTTCTGTCTGTCTCTCTGTCTGGCTCTCTGTCTGTCTCTCTGTCTCTCTGTCTGTCTGTCTCTCTGTCTGTCTGTCTGTCTGTGCACGTGTGTGCGTGTGTGAACAGTGAACCCTAACAAGCATGTTATAAAAGGCTACTAGGAGGTTTGCAGAAACAGGATATGTTAATCCGAAAGCTGTCAAGTCACAATGCAATTGCAAACCCCCTTTTAAGGGCAAACAGAAGAAGAAGAGGCAAAAGATGACTATGACATAAACTACAACGAAGACTATACCGACGCCGAACCCTCCAAAAAAGAAGATGATGAAAAAGATAAAGGTGACAAAGAAGAAGAAGAAAAAGAAGATGATGACGACGAAGAAGAAAAATATGACAACTACAAAGAAGAAGAAGTGAACAACAATGAAGAAGAAGAATAACTTATCGACGAAAACTACAAAGAAGAAGATGACGATGAAGAAAAATAAGAAGACAACAACAATGAAGAAGAAGAATAAGATGTTGATTAAGACTACAAAGAAGAAGACAACAATGACTATGAAGAAGATGATGACGAAGTTGAGGATGAACGATGACAAAGATGACAAAGACAATGATGACAAAACTGATGACGAAGACAGCGATGACCCCGCTGCTGGTGCTGACTCCAAAAAGCTGCAATTTGAGAAAACTTTACTAAATGAGGTGAAGGTCAGACAAATGATGTAGAAACAAAATTGTGTAGTTTCCACAATGGAGGTTGGCGACAGTATATCCAGTGCTAACTATAGGGAATATTACATGGCAGGGAGCCAATCTCTTCCATAGTTTGACTCTCATACCACTGTTTTAAGCCACCAGAATGGCCTTTTTCTTAGTCCACAATAGGAATCAAACCCTGGTCAAGGACTGCAATGTAAAATCATTTCATTAATCTCTAAGCCACAGAGGTATACAACTAAAATAAAAAGACACATCTCTACTTGATGGATGTTGAAAAAAGGTTAAAGTCAAGAGGACTGACTTTATTGTGTTGGGTTTTATCACATATGGCTATCTCTCTCCACAGAATGGTTTGCCACCTGCCGAGAACATAATACAAAGCACAAACTCTGTAGCTCTAGTGATGATCCTGACAGTCACTGTAAAAATTGCACTCGTGAAATGAACGGCACAGCCATGAAACCATGACCTTCAGAGTGCCAGGCAAGCAGCTTGACTACTTCACCACGGAAACTCTTCTTCACTTAAAGGATGTGTTAGACTGAAAGGTGAACTTGAAAGAGTAAGACAACATTACATAACAGGTAAACAACATCAAGAGATTGGCTTGAAGAAGCTAGTATGAGTGCAAAATGAAGAGGCTTCTTTTTCTTTAGCTTATTCTTCTTCTTTCTTCCTCAAAAGGGCTGTTGGCATGTTGTATTGTGGTTTACAGCTAGGCTGTGATATCTAGTCATTTCAGCAGATCTTTACTCCCTGTGAGGGTGCCAGAACCCCAATGTGGAGGGAGGGGGGAAAGAACAGGCTCACTGTCCCCCAACAAGCATGTAACATTCAACTGATCAGAGATGTTTCCTTTGAAGATGGAGTACTTGAGAGGTGAGGAACCAACAGTCTGAGGTGAGGAACCAACAGACTGAGGTGAGGAACCAACAGACTGCATATAAACATGTCAGATCTGTAAAACTGGTGTGCGCACAAAAGTCATGTTCTAGAAAAATAAAGTTCAGAAGTGGATTCACAGTCAGAACTTCTCACACGAGTTTGCAGCTGGTGGACGCAAAGAAGAAGATGCAGAAGAAGTCACATTTTATGACATGCAGTAGGTCATTTCTTTTCTCCTCTCCCCCATCCCTTTTCCCTAAAAATGGAATCCCTGAAGCCAGGCGAGGAATAAGCTAAAAATCCAAGATAATGTTACTTGAGATTACTTACAGTTAACAAGTTAACCTTAAATGAGGAGATGGTAAGAGGCTGATTGACTGTGAGAGACTGATTGACTGTAAGAGACGACTGATTGACTGTAAGAGGTTGATTGACTGACCTCACAAGTGTCTGTACATCCTGTGTTATTAGGTCCTTCTGCTGCAGATTGCTTATTTGGGCAGCAGCCATATTTGGAATCTTCACAGCTTACTGAAGTCGTAGCAGGTTGTGTACCAGGCCCTATAAAAGTGGGATCATGTTAGTTTGTGTAGTACAGTGACAGTAAGATCAAATACACAATTCTTATGTCTGAGAACAGGAAACTGCACGCCCAACTACAGCATGCATTAAAAAAAGTATTTGTAATCCTCACAGTGTGCCTGTCAGATGGGACCACAAACACATGAGCACATCTGCAGGCCTGTCCACTATACTCATTACTATGAAGAGAAACCTAGCTTCGAATGCACAGTGTCTAGAACAAACTGTGGAGAACCACGAAGAACCTGCAATTGACATGCAAATTCATGGTGGCAGCACTTCTAATAATCTGACCTGGGCATACAAACACAACATGCAAACAAGAAGAAAATCAAATATAAGCTCATAATATTAACATTGTCACATTAACTGATGTCTTCTTCTTCGGCCCTTTACCTCCCAATGAAGCATAGGCCCTCAACCAACTCACACCAAGTCAGCCTATCTTGAGTTGAGTTGAGCTGAGTAGAGTTGAATCAAGAATTGACATCACAGCACTCGTGCATTCTCATGGATGCTCCATCCTCATCTTCAGCAGCCAGCACAGAGTTCCAATATTGATGGTACTGGTCACAATCTGGTTAAATGTCTGTCTTGCCTTTCCTCTGAGTGTAGTCAGCAGGCCGGACCCTCTGGTTATATCCAGGTGCCTCATTGTTCCGAAAGGGCCTTGACCACATCTGCCTTGTCATGTATCAATTCACCACACAGTGGTGCAGATCCAGCCAATATGCCTGTTCATTACCTAACATGCCGGCATGGCCTGGAGAAAGATCCAAAGTATGCTCACTACCCATGACCTTACCAGTGAAGCTTCCAACTCTGCTCAAAGCATCCCTGTCTTCACCTTTTGCAGCATGCTTTCAGAGTCTGTTACAATTATGCCATGTGTATGCATCTTGTTCTCTAGCCACCGACGAGCTGCAGTTACTGCCTCCACCTCCATTCTCATGCTAGATGTGGTGTGTCAACCTATCTTTTGCTGTTGCATGCTGCTATGCCTATGTCATCCTCATAGTAGTAGTAGTAATTTAATCAACAATATACTGTTAAACTCAACTGTGACATCAATGAGGCATATAGAATGATTGTCTATTTCAGTAAAGGATATTTATGTTACTAAATTGTTTTAGCTTTATGTACTAATTGTTACTGATTGTTATGTTAATACACTAAAGAAAAACTTTTCAAATAATTATGAAAATCATAGTGTGTAATCTATCTTTGAGAATATTTTAAGTGATCTATGATACAATTATTCATTCTTAAGATATATTTAAACCTCAAATCATGACCTTTGTTCTTGTGATGTAATCTTTAATCCTTCCCTGTAGATTCTAGAGGTATCTATTCCAAGCATGTTTTCTATTGTGATCCTCATCTTTTTAATTTCATTCTAATTCTTTTCTTCATGTGCCTGTTAGGCCTGCCTTTATTTCTATGCCCCTGTCAAGTGAAGCCACCCAATATAAACATGTTACCTGATTGTCTGCCATTAACACAGTTATCTTCACATTCTTCTTTGGTAGAAAACCTGTTAGAGTTACCCCCACAGCTGCCATACCAAAACTGATGACAAGTTCCAGAGCTGACATCAAAATACCAGCGCACAATGTAGTCGACACAAGTCCCTGCATCTTTTGGTTGCCCACACATACCTGTAGATAAAGACAAATTCAAATGTCTCCTTGATACAAATATTATGTTAAATTTATAAGTGCTATATGCTATAGACTAAATATCAACATCCTGCATGACTACAAAAGATATTTGGCTCAAAAACAGCATCCTGGCCAGACAACTGAGGTATTTCTGCCTTGTTAAGTGCCTTGATGGCTGGAGAGAACAGTGGCGGAGGGCACAGTTGATAGAAAACAAGATGGAGGTCAGCCAGGAGCCCATCAACACTCCTCGCTGCAACATTCCCTCCAGGTGCTGGTTTTCAGTATCTTGCATTTTACTTGTTGCCTCGCCACACAAACAAGAAATCACCTTTTCTTTGTAAAGTTGCAGTTCATCCTCAAGTGGGGCCAGTCCAGCCACCCTCTATCTGCTTGCTCATTTCCAAACATGCATGAATGGTCCGGGCTAATGATCCCTGCGACTCTCACTACCTGTGACCTCTGGATAGATGCAACCCACTCTGTTTGAAAGAAAACCTGACTCCACCTTCCTGAGCATGCTTTGCAAAACTAATACTATTATTATCATTCCATGAAGGATGTTAAAAAAGTTAGTTGCATATCCTTTATAGGACATTGCCAAACTAAACCCAGCATTTTGGCTGTTGTGGTTTCTCTAGGCAAATTTACATCCAGTAGTTTGCCAATGCTTTCTGGACAGTCAGCTTCTCAAAATCACTGTTGAAACCAATGCAAGGTGCAGGGCCTGCAGCTGGGACCGAACCCAGTACACCAGCTTTACAAAGCGTGTTCGCAACACCTAAGCCACAGAAGCTGACATGTGGTTGTAAATGTCTTAAATGTCACCAGTCTTCTCACTCTCACATCAAGTTGCTTCAGGTGCAGCACCCATGTTGATAATTGTCTTGGCTGCATTTCAGTGAAACAACAAAACCAAAGAATCTTCTACTTCTCAACAGATTTGGTGCTAGTTGTTATTCCCACAATCTGTCTGGTAGCATTTTCCCCTCAGACTGTGGTAACAACTCCTTGCACCAAATTCATTAAGAAGCAGAATATCAAATGGTTTGGTCATCCTGTAAAACAACTAAAGAAATACCAACCCAAATGATTAAAAAAAACCTGTCAGCTTCACGATTTCCTAATCTCAAATGACAAATGGATCTTGTGGCTACACAGCCTTCATCATATGACATAAATGGGCAATGATGCAGCTACAACCAATAATAAATAAAATCATATATCTGTAAGTTCTGTATTTTTCCCTCAGGGTCTGGTGAAGGGGTCAAGCTGTTTGCCTCATGCTCTGAGGTCGTGGGATCGTTTCACAGCTACATTGCTTGATTCACTAGTGCATTTTGTATGAAGATCCCTGATAATCGTAACCAGAACTAAGGAGATCAGGATTTAGGTGGCAATCTCAACAGGTATATGCAGAGAGAGACCATGAGATTCAAAACCTGGTGCAATGAAGGCAATATTATCAAATTTAACATTAACTTTAAACCAGTGAGCATTAAGATCCTGTTGAAAAAATAGTCATAATAAATCAGTTGACACTTTGAGTAGAAGGAGTATACGGGAAAGGAAGTAAGACCGAGAGGTAAGACAGACGGGATAAGGCAAGGAACATAATTGTACAATTTTTTTTATTGATAAAATTGAGTTGGACTGTAAGGCCCTTAGGACAGAAAACCCACTGGGCTGGTAATACATACTCATCCAAAATACTTTATTGAAAAACCTGATGGTGGTAACCTCTGTGTAGAATGATACCATAGTGACCCCGAGAATTAACATAAATAAGCACTGATTTGAAGGCATTGTTCTGCACATTGGAAAAATGTGTCCTGCCCCTGTCCACCCTAGGACAGAAAGTTAGAGAGTTAAGACACACTGGATAAGGCAAGGAACATAATCGGAACATTCTTCCATTGATAAAATTGTGTTGGACTGTGTTTCCATGTATCATCTTCACATTTATTATTGTAAAACAGCACAACATTGTTGAATGCAAAAAACACATTATTTTATGGGAAGAAAGTCTTCAAGATATCAAAGCTACAATATATTTCAGAAAGCAGGCTCTGGAAAAATTGTTAAGGCCATATGCAAATGTGTCAGGAATGAGGTCACAAATTACAGTAAAAGTAAACAGTGCTTTTCACACCAATGGCGCATAAGGCATAAGATCATTATCATCACCAGTATCCTGTTGTATCATTATATGCCACATAGGGCTCATTGTCTATTCCCTTTGCCTCTACCACTCCACAAACATCTACTTTTTAATGAGGCTAAGTTTACTCACAAAAGATTATCCCAAAAGGCTCCATGTTATTTATAGCCATTTTTGAAAAATAATGGAAGGCATAGAAAACACAAACATATTACACATCCCTAAACCTAGGAAAACCTTACATAATACAAGCTTAGCATTCACCACTAGTTTCTATACATACAGTCGGAGTCTGTTCAAATAGTATCTGAGCACAGACTGCATGCCTCATTACAACATACAAATATTTTAGAAATAAAGTACATATTTTCCCTAAAATGACTACAGTTAACTGTAGTTAGAACTGTGTTCATTCTAGTGCTTGTTTTTAATATTTAGCTGCTTTGATAATGTTTACTATTACTTGATGTATGTGGGAAATGATGTGTGAAAGAGGGAGTGCATTTATTCATTTGTTTATTCATTCCTCCATTCTGTTCTATCATTTGCAGTCAATTCAATATCATGGATTTAAGCCAGCCCAGCACCTTTGGCTCTCTCATCAATGTTCATTTTATGGTTTCTTTTAGGTATCTGTGATTTATCCATCTTTTTATTTTCCATTTTAGTGCCCATTTGGTGATTCTCAGCTCGGTTCTTCTCAAGATGTGCCCAGGATAGCCCTATCTTCTTTTTCTTATAAGTGTTGATTTTGATTTCACATATTACTTCACTGATTGTTATAAACTACTAACATGACATTGGGAAATACTTTTGTAGATAAACAGTCTATCAATATGTAGGTATAGCAATGGGTCGTTTTGTTTCGTTTATTTTGCTTTACATTTTCATCCGTATCTAGGGACGCCTGAACACCAGCCCAAATTGACGCTAGTAAGAAATTATTTTTCCGTGCTCTTTACATGAAAGATAAAATCTGAAAAATTATTAGGAGCTATTGGAGAGGTGCCAGGCTTTGACCTGAGATGGTTTTGATGCTTATACAATAAATCAACTTTTTTGGCAGTACGCAGTGAATTGATGGTTAGTAATTTTGTAAATATCTTCTTAATTAGCTAGATTACCACAATTTGTGGTGTATTTTTGAATTCTGCCTTAATTTTTAAAAAAGTATGGGAAATTTCACAAAGATTGGCTAAGCGCAAATGTTTAAAAACAATTTTCAGTGGCATCACTGTTTTGGCTTTAAATCCAATATGTTTGCACTAGGAGACCGTTTGTCTCGCTTTATAATTAACTTAAAATAATTATTAAATTAGCTAAAATTTTAATCATTTTTTAAAATTCCACAACCATTGTAGCATTTTTTTCATGCATCTGTCATTATTTAGAGCTCTGCATATTTTCTGTTGGAGATATTTTTTCCTGATCACCCCCAAATCCCAATAATTAATGTGGCCATCATTGCGCATTTTCTAAGATGATTCTTTAGTAATTAACTTCAGATACTTAGTAAATTAATCATGTTAAGTGAGCTAATTTTTAAACATCTACAACTCTTGTAGCATTTTTTAAAGTGTCTGTTATCATTTAGAATCCACAGAATTTTCTGTCGGAATTGGTAAATCCAAGTGGTCGAGAAACAACAGCAGCGCTGACTGCATTCCTGTCCATCAGGCCTGCCAGTACTTGGGCTTTCCTCCCAAAAACTGGGTTTTTATACGACAACTTGGGTTGAGATTTTGAAATCTTTTTTTTTTTTATATATGTATATCCTTATATAAAAGTGGGTAAATGTTTCATTTCGTAACTATAAAATATGTACTATTTATCAATTTGGATTTTTTGTTTTGTTTGCTTATATATTGCTTGGGTTTTTGGTCAGCTTAGCTTCGGGTTGACAAAAATCCCATTGGCAACCCTTCCATGCTTGGCTGTCCGCGTGTGGCTGCTATAGATCTATTTCTTACATTCAATGCTGGGTAGACATGGGAGCCACGGTCATTTTTGAAAGAAAAGAAAATCTGGCCTGACCTGATTCCCAAAAATGAACACACCTGTTGTGTTTGCCCTGTTGTTAACACTGTCACTGACCCATTATGAAAACAGGCCATGTACTACCAGTTGGCTCATGTTCTCTTTTACCATACAGAATGGAGATTTGGGGGAGGGGGAGTAGAAGATTGAGAGAAAGTTAAGATAGAAGGGGACTAGGAGGAGGAGAGAGGAAGAAAAAAAAAGAGACTAGGAAAAAGAAAGTCGGCACTGAGACATGGGGAAAAAGAAAGGAAAAGGGGGGGGGGGGTGTTATTTGTTAATTAGGTCACGTCAACTGACATTGGCACATTTATATGATCTTTATGTTTGCCTTGCCATGACACACAATATGATAGGTATTAAGCCAGGCTTGTTAGCAGACAACTTTAAATGTTAAAGGTTTGTGATAAAAATCAGCCTGCGGACATTTTCATATGTTAAAAAGGCGCATATTGTAGTGTATGTATTTGAGACATGCATAAACGGTTAGGTCTCACTGTTCTGATTCCAGCAATGTATGGTTGCTAAGGGATTCGTTCAGAAACAAAAAAGTTATGGCCGTAAAATGCAAACATTGAGTAATTTCATCTTACAGGCTCGCAGCCAGGAATCCATGTTCTGTCCATTCCATTATAATTTTTCTGTGGTGGTATCCGCCACTAAAAATGTTATTATCTCCACTTAGAATTGACTTACAGGCTTAACCCTACCAGACCTGAGGCCCTGAACCTAACTGTCCCTATAACCTGAGTTCCTGGGCATTACCACGAAAAAAGCAACATGATATACACAAATATTAGTTACATGCAAATGAGTGGCTAGAATAGGATGAAACTTGGAGACATTGTAGAAAATAGGCTTACCTTTTATCTAGCACCAACATTTATTTGTGAATCCACTCATCAGGATCAACTTTGTTTCACAAAGTGAACACCAGATGTTGCCGTTTAAGGGACACGCCCTCTTCTCCTACTTTCGATCTATTTCAAGATTCATAATTTTCAAGATTTTCCTCATCATTTTCACTCTCACGGACAGTGTCACTTCAATAATGTATTCTTTATGAAATTATCACCCCGCAGAGTCTGAATAAACCAAAGTATCAATCACCTGTTGGGCTGTAAAGCGCCTAGAACTTGGTTTATCAGCCGCTCGTTTCATTGTGAAATTTCCCAAGGAAAACACAAATATACTCCAAACACATGCAGGCAGACATTTGCAATGTCTAACAAAGAGGATTGATAACAATTGGGTGGTTATTTTTAGTCCGTGATGCATCTTTTCCCCGTACTGCGCAAAAAGCAGAAAATTAGTGCCAGCGGTATAGTGTCAGGTTAAGAAATTCCCAGAAAACCGGGCCAGCGGTTTGGTAGGGTTAAATGAGGTACCATTGGATTTGTAATTGTAATCTTTATCTAGCTGTCATAATTTTGTAAGCAAAAATCCAAAATTTAAACCTTCACTAGCATCCCTACAACATGCATCAAAATCATTGTAATGATACCTTGAAAAATGGCTCTTGCTGTTGTTAATTGTTGTCACATCTAAGTGTATGTTCATTTGTTTTGGTCACTTTGATTGAAGCATTTAATATAACTTGAAGATACTTTCAAAATAAAGAGAACTAATCACAAGAGAACTGAACTTCAATTAGTTCCAGGAAAAAGTATTGTTGTCTTTCCATTCTGACTGCCTAATTGTCACCACTGTACTTGATCCAGTTAAACAAAAATGTATGCATGTGGCACAAATAATTGTCACAAAAAGGTGTAACATTACCACTCACTTTCAGCAGTCACTTTGTGTTTGCATCCAAAGTGATTGGGACCCATTGCTGGTGTTATGTCATCAGGGCAGCAACCATAAACTGAGGTTTTGCAATTTTCCACAGATCCGCTGTCCTCTTCCAGAACCTGGAGAGGGAAATGGGACAAACACTATTTTATACCTTTCATTATAATTTTGAATTAGCTACTTTGGCTATCCTCCGACTAACGGTCGGCAAGGATGGCGTCCGCAAAATATCCTTTCGAGCCAGAGTCGCGTGTCAATTGTGCACTAGCGGTCACAAGCACACCATGGCTGCTGCTCGTGGGGCCTAGCCATCTAGTTTAGCCCCAATCCACGCCGCTCACGTGGCGTGGGGGACATGTGGCAGTGGCGATAGTCGCCGGAAAACCGCCGGAGAGCAGCAAATTAAGTCACGCGACTCTGGCTCGAAAGGATATTTTGCAGCCGCCATCTTTGCCGACCGTTATTCGGAGGATAACCGCTACTTCTATACAGGATAGATCAACATCCATTTCTGAACTTAGAAGATAACTTCAACTCTTTCAGGCCCAATCAATGCTGTGTGTGTTGACTAAAAAGTTCCTATTTGCCCAAACAACTCAGTGTGTTAATCATGCATCCTACACATAACGATTCACATACTGTTTCATACTAGTTTTTTTTTAATTCAGACATAACTTAAATATTCAGGGAACATTAGACTAGCATTATTTTGTTTACAAGTCTACGTGTATGCATTTAGGTGCACATTTATTGAATTCATTGCTAGCATCCCATGTTGAATGTTGAATCAGGAATTTACATCACAGCACCTGGGACACTTCCATAAGTGCTCTGTCCTCATCTTCAGCAGCAAGTGAAGAGTTCCAATTCCGATGGCACCAGTAACTCTCGGACTGTATATCCATTTTGCCTTTCCCCTGAGTGTTGAGCGTTTGCCAGATCCCCTGGTAACCCCTGGCAATATCATTCTCCTCAGACTGTAAGGATAAATCTGTACCTACCCACTGTCCACACATCAGTTCATCATCACCAAGTGGTGCAGAGCTGGCCAGTCTATCTGCTCCCCTATATGTAGGCCTAGTGGAAATAGGGGTATAATTTAAATCCTATACATACTATTTATCGACCGCTGCCGTATCTTTAATAATTTGTCCTAAGTGCAACCAAGGCATCTCCTGTAATACTTCTTCTTTTGTCAAAATCTGTTTGTGCCGTTAGGCGTCGCAGTCTATCAGATGATCGGCAACCGAGCCAGGGCGCGCTCAGTCGCTTCATATGCCGTGATGTTATGAAGTCTCAAGTTGTCCGTGACTCCTTCAATCCATATTCTTTTTGGTCTTCCCCTGCCTCTTGGTGTTTCTATTTTCATGTTGTATGCTCTTGATGCTGGCATCGTTGGTTCCATTCTCATTAGGTGACCAAACCATTTCATTCTTTGCTTCTCAATAAATTTAACGATGGGTATGGTTCCAATAGTTCTTGTAATCACATCGTTTCTCACTCGATCTCTTCTGGTTTTATTCGCAGCCATTCTCAAACATCTCATTTCACAGGTGGTTAGTCTTCTCTCGTGTTCTTTTGTTAATGTCCAAGTCTGACATTGATAACCTAATGTCGGTATACAGATTGCATTTATAATTTGTCTTTTTATCTCAGCTGGGACAGCAGGGTGTTTTAAAATTGGGGCAAGCTGGTATGCGACATTGTTGGTTTGTTGGATTCTTGCTTCGATCTCTCTGTCTATTTTACCATTGAATGTAAAGATACTTCCCAAGTATTTAAATTCTTGCACTTGTTTTAGGCTGTGATCTAGAATCTTTATGTCGATGGTCTGTTGCTCTCTATTTATGCTCATGACTTCTGTCTTTTCAGTATTGATCTTCATATGATGCTTGAGGCAACTGTCGTGTATTAGGTTTATGTCGTCTTGCAGCTGTTTACTATCACTGTGAAATATGCATTGATCGTCGGCAAAGAGCAGCTCATTGAAGTCCTCCTGTTTATCGACATCTGTTGGTGTTATGTCTATTTTATTAATGTTGTCCATAAATATTATGAGAAGTAAAGGTGATAATACACAACCTTGTCTTACTCCTGATGTTACTGGGAACCAGTCTGTGATGCCAGCTCTTGTTCTAATGGCGCTTTCACTTTGTCTATAAATAGCCCTAACACAATCTAAAATTGTTCCATTTATACCGTAGTTTTCAAGAACTTTCCATAATAAATTTCTGTTTACTCTATCAAAAGCTTTTTCATTGATCTATGAAAGCGATGTTCATTTGATGTCTGTGTTCTATTGTCTTTTCGCTAACTTGTCTTAAAGCAAAAATAGCGTCAGTACACCCTCTTCCTTTCCTAAATCCGACCTGTGATGGGCTCAGGATCGGTTCTACAACAGATTTAATTCGTTGTTCCAGAATTTTGGCAAACATTTTTCCTACGTGGCTTAGAAGGGAGATGCCTCTGTAATTGTTACAATCTTGCTTATTGCCTTCTCTTTTCCAAATTGGGACTATAAGGGCTCTTTGCCAGTCTATTGGTACAGTTCTTTCATTCCAGGCTTTGCTAAATATGTGGAGTAGCCAGGTGACTCCAATTTCTCCACAAGCCTGTATTGCCTCGGCTGATATTCCATCAACACCTGATGCCTTATTTTTGGGACTGCATCTGATTGCTTCTCTGACTTCTTGTTCGATTATTGTAGGCTGTTCCGCGTTTGTACATCTGGGTGTGAATGGTACTGTTTCCTCATTTCCTGTTACATTCAGAAGAGTCTGAAAATATTCTTTCCACCTTTCTCTGATCTTGCCCTCCTCATGTATGGGTTTGCCTTGACTATCATTGACATATTCAGATGGCTGGAATGGTTCATCTCTAGTTCTCATTTTTGCAATGGTTTTGTAAAACTGTCTACTAGATTTAGCACAGACTTTGGTAAGATTTTCCCCATACATGATCCAGGATGTTTCCTTGGATTGTTTAATTTCTCTTGCAGATTGTCGCCTGTAATACTAACACTAGCATTTAACAGTTTGGGAGACAGACAGCTGTACTGTCTCAGACAATTTAAAATTTGTGGTTTCAAGGAAAATAACTGAACATAATTATCAAAAATTACCTTTTCATGGGAAAGTAAAAGGAAAAATGTAAATTGATCAAACTCCAGCAAACGTTTTCTTTTACTGATTGTCACAATAAATAAATAAATTTACAATAACCTGGGCCACCAGTGTGACTGTTAAATTTATCATTGTAGTGGTAATGGCAAATGGAAATTTAGTCCATGTATTGTTCATGGTTTGGCAGGAGTTAACATTTCATTTATAATAAACACCCAAAAATGTTATATACGACCCTTACGTCCTTCTTAGGACGTAATTTTTTGTTATTTGAAGCCCCACTCTGGCTTTTGCCAGGGGCCGCAATATAGGCAGGTCATCATTATGGCCAAATGTCTGAACGCGGTTTCTAGGACCTCTCCACGGTGATCCTCATCCGCATGGTGGCACTTTGTGTCATCGGGTGTTTATCGCTTGTGTGATGTCCTGGTGGGGTAGAAATTCAGTCAGTCAGTCAAACACCCAAAATACAGAAAACGTTTGTGATGAATAGTATAGAATACAGTCTATATTGCCTTTATATTACACCACCCCGTTTACAGTTTTGTAAAGGGAAATTATTACTAGTAAAGTCTGTCACAATTCATAGGCCTGAAAGATACTGAAGAATAATGCTTGAGACAGTCGGAGTTTTCCACATGCAAAAAAGAATCAACAGCTGTGTATAAAAAGTGAACAGGTCACAAAGAGTTAAACAAATATATCCTGTCAGCTTATATTCAGCAGGACAGTGGACGGACACTTCCCTGCCAACCTAAAGGTCTTGGGTTCAAATTTGCACCTGAAGGATTTTGGAAAAAAATTAACCTGGCACAAAGGTTCACCTGGCCTCAAATGGGCACTAAAAATTCCTGGGAAGTAAAGGTGGCAGGAATAATGTCGACTACATTATCAATTGAGTGCCGATCGATCTATAAAAATATGAGGCTAGTATTATATGCCCGACATCTCACTGGTGTGAAAAGGGTCATTTACTTGACTTTATTTTACTTCTGTTTTTATTCCTTATGCTCCTCATGTGGGTCGGAGCCCTCCATTTTGGGGGGAAAATAAATTGATGTACTTTCCCCCCAAAAAAACAAGCATGTTGTAGAAGTTAACTAATTAGAGTTTTTTCCTTTCAAAGACAAGGAGCATCTGCTTGAGAGACGAGGAAACAATAAAAACAAAAGTCAGATCTCTAAAATGGATGTGCATGCAAAACTCAAGTTTTGGAAAAAGACTAAAGTTTAGAAGTGGGGGAACAACCAAAACTTTCCAACCGAGTTTACAGTCTGAGAACACTAAGAAGAAGAAAAAAAAGATTTCTCTTGTGATTACAGCTGTCACATCTTACCCCAGACAACTTTATTGTGCTGTCTGTTTCACCAGCACAGAGATGTTGGGAACAGTTCTGCACTTGCTGAGGTCTGTTTTCATGCACACAATGAGACTCATTCACTACGACAGGATCTTGTGTAGCGTCGGTTGGATCTTGCTGACAATAAATGTTTCTAGTCTGACTGCCAAGACCACATGATGCGCTGCACTGGATTTAGACACATGAAAACAAAGTATATCACAGGAACAATGTTTGAACATGGCTGAAAAAATATTCACTGTTTGATCATTTGTACACTACCCTGACTGCACAAAGTTCTGTGGTCTGAATTTGTACTGAGAGAATTTATTTAAAATAAAATAAAAAGTCCTTGGCTTCTAGGTCAACCCAGCCTAAAATGACAACCAGGCAGCTGAGCTGAGTTGAGTTTCAAGACCTGACTTCACAGCACTAGGGACATTCCCATAAGTGCTCTGTCCTCATCTTTACATGTCATCAATGAGTTCCATTTTCGATGGTACCAGTTGCAACCTGATTCTATGCCTGTCTTGTATTTTCTCTGAGTTGACAAGCTAAAAGTACCAGCTGCAACCTGATTTAAAGTCCACCCATGTTTCCCGCTCAGTGGTGACTTATCTTCCAGAACCTCTACTCATCCCCAGTTGAACTGGTCTTTCATTGTCAATGTATGAATTCTCTGTCTGTTACACTGCACTGTCCATTTGATCCTAGCTAGCTTTCACCACATTCAATTTATCATAAAATAGCTCACCACCCCGATAACAGGCAGCAGCTAATCTATTTGATTGTTGACAACCTCACACACTTGAATTTACTGGACAGAAAATCCATGATATGCTCCTAATCAGTTGTCCTGTCAAGGGTAAACATGGAAGAAGAAAAGTGTTATTTCTGTTAATGTCCCACAATATTTCACTTGTGTCTTCATTCATTTTATTATATTATTATAACCTAATGGTAGAATCGCCCGTGTGTCACCGGGGCCCTGACGTAAAGCAAAGAATAGTGACGCTGCACCTTACCAGGCAAGTCATAAGAGGCGACTAAGGGTAGGGTTGGGCTTGAGGTTGGCTACCTCATCCTGTAAAAACCATAGCCACAAAAACCAACCAACCAAGGAAGTTAGGAGGCGTATAAGGGCAGATAAAGTGAAATATATAAATGACCTAGCACAAGAAGCGGAGACAGCAGCAGCAAAAGGAAATCTCAGAGAACTTTACAGTAACACAAGAAAATTAGTAGGTCAAAATAGGCAGCCAACTGGATCAATCAAAAATAGTCAAGGAAAGGTACTTACTAACATTAAAGATCACATGGACAGATGGGTTGAATATTTTGAAATGCTTCTAAACAGACCAGGTTCAGAGGTTTCCCCAGATAGATATCCAACCTCTAGAAATGGAACTGGATATCAACTGTGAGATACCATCTAAAGAGGAAATTCGAAAAGCTATCAATCTTCTCAAGGAAGGAAAGGTGACAGGCCCAGATGGTATCCCAGCTGAAGCCATCAGGGCCAACATAAACACATCAACAGAACTGCTACATAGATTATTTAGTAAAGTCTGGGAGACCGAAGAAATACCAGCAGACTGGAGAGAAGGATATCTTCTAAACTGCCCAAAAAAAGTTATATACAGGAGTGTGAAAACTATAGAGGAATTATGTTGCTGTCAGTTTCTGGAAAAATATTAAGCAAAATTATTTTGGAAAGATTAAAAGATGCTATTGATAAGACCATATGAATGCATCTTTCCCATTGCAACATACGCCTGTGAGACCTGGACACTTACTAAACAAGCGGAACAGCGCATAAATGCATTTGAATATAAATGTTACAGACAAGTTCTAAGAATATCTTGGGTAAAGAAAAGAACAAATGCATCCATACTTCAAGAGCTGAATATTGAAGAGGGTTGGCTAGTAAAGACAATAAAACAAAGAAAATTGAAATATTTTGGTCACTTGAAACGTCATGGAAGTCTAGAGAGAACAATAATGGAGGGGTATATGCCTGGGAAGAGAGGAAGAGGAAGGCCAAGGAGAAGATGGGTGCAGGATGTGGCAGATGATCTCCAGATGGGTGTATCAGACGCAGGACATCTTGCTCATGATAGGAAGGTTTTCCGGAGGGTTGTTATGGCAGCGAGGTTCCGCGAGGGACATGCTACTGAATGAATGAATGAATTGATAAGAAGCTAAGAGATGAACAGGCATGTTTTCGGTCAAACAGATTCTGTACTGACCAGATAGCCACATTACATATTATAATAGAGCAAAGCACTGAACTGAACTCACCACTTTACATTAAATTTATAGACTATGAAAAAGCATTTGACAGCATTGATAGGGAATCTCTCTGGAAATTGATGGGGCACAATGGAATCCCACATAAAATTATTTACTTAGTAAAGGCAACATATAAAGATATGAAATGTCGAGTTCTTCATGAGGGAAAGCTAACAGATACATTTGAAATAAAAACCGGTGTGCGACACAGATGTCTTTTGTCGCCCCTATTTTTTTTTTACTGGCCAAAGACTGGATTATGAAAACAGCAACTGCTAACACCAAGAATGGAATTCAGTGGACCCCTACAAAAGAGCTTGAGGATCTGGACTTCGCTGATGATATTTCTCTTCTGTCCCATTCACGGAATTAGATGCAAGATAAATTAAATATACTTGATGCGAGATCACAGCAGCTTGGTCTTAAAATCCATAAAGGAAAGGCAAAGATAATGAGAATAAATCAGGCAAATAGTAATGTGGTTTCCCTTAATGGCACCCCACTCCAAAACGTGGAGTCATACACTTATATGGACAGTAATGTAGATAAAGAGGGAATAACTGATAGAGATATTATAATAAGAATACAAAAGGCAAGAAGAGCTTTCATAGCACTAGGGAATTTGTCAAGGTTAAAAAAAATTAAAAGAAATACTAAACAAACAATTTTTTATTCTAATGTCAAATCAGTACTTTTGTATGGGGCAGAAACATGGAGAACAACCAAGGCAATTACTAATAAACTACAAACATTCATTAACTCGTGCCTGGGCAGAACAGAAGGAATTAAATGGTATGATAGAATAACTAATGTAGAGCTTTGGGAGAGAACTGAACAGGCTCCAGTGGACCAAGAGGTGAAGGAAAAGATGCTGGCGTTGGATAGGACACACACTGAGAAAACAGGAGAACAGCATAACTAGAATGTCTTTGCATTGGAACCCACAGGGGCATAGGAATAAAGGAAGGGCAAAAAACACATGGAGAAGAGAGCTGGAGAATGAAGTTAGAAAGATGGGGAGGACATGGGAAGAGCATCATGCAATGGCAAAGGATAAAACGACTTGGCGTGAGTTGGTTGAAGGCCAATGCTCCATTGGGGGATAGAAAGGCAGAAGAAGAAGAAGAAGAATGGTAGAATAGACAGAAAAATAGACACCATATGTCAGAAAGCAAATGTACTTATATACCAATTCTCACCATTATTAAGACATCCAAACTAAACTATGAGTGCAAAGAGACAGATTATAAACAGCAAATTCATTCCAACATTAGGCTACCAGTGCTGAAAATGGACACTACCTAAAGTCCATGTTCACATAATCATCGTTTGTGAGATGACATGCCTGAGAAAAGCCACCAGCCTAACCATCCAAGATCCAGTGAATAAGGATACTATCAGGTTGTAGGAATGACACCTTGTACTAGATACATCGAGAAACAGCAAATCAAGTAGTTTGGCCACCATGTTAGACTGCAGAAAAATCAGATACCATCACAGGCATTACATCTCAGTAGATCAGCTACAAGAGCATGAGGACAGCCTCAAAAACAATGATCAACAACATTAAAGAAACGCTACACCTTCATGACAATAGCCAGTGGCAGCTAGCGTGCACTGGATCATAGATAATTAATCTGTATGAGTCTAGATGGCGAAAGTGGTTTTTGATGATGATGATGATGTTGATAGCTAATAAAAAGAATGTCATCATAAACCGTCAGCTAGAAGAGACATGACCATAAAAATATCAGGACACAAACTGGGACAGAACAAGTACTAAACTACTTAAAGAGACAACAGATGGTTTTGATCTGTGTCAAGACTACCCCAAGATAGTGCACTGCAGAGAGACCTGTCACTTAGATGTAATGGAAGCAGAGCTATAGGTCAACCCTGTAAGTAATGGATAGATGCAATATCCAAGGCCATAAATATCAGCATCTACTTAGCACATACCAAGGCTTGCACTTGATGCCTTTTTGAAACATGATGTAGAAATGCAGAGCAGGAAAGAAAAGAAGAAAAAGATGAACTCTCACATGAAAATATATTTGACAACACTTAGTAAATTTGAGAGGTTACCTCACTCCAGCTTCCAGCTGCCCAGTAAGGGCAATTATCCCCTTCTCCGTAGCAAGCCCGCTTCACAACTGGTGGGGCTCCAACATGTTGCAGACACACATCATCAAGAACATAATCTGAGTTTCCAAATGTGTCTGTTTTGATACAGAGCATAGTTTGAGATTGCTCTCCAAGGCCACAGTCCACACTGCACTCTCCCCAGTTTCCCTCAATCCATCTGAAAATCAAACCATCATAAAACTATGTAAGGTCAGGAAAAAAGTCATAAATGTCATCAAGAACATAGGCTGAGTTTTCACCTGTGTCTATTTTGAAACAAAGCATAAGACAAGATTGCTTTCCAAGGCCACAGTCCACACTGCACTCTCCCCAGTTTTCCTTAATCCATCTGAAAATCAAACCATCATAAAACTATGTAAGGTCAGGAAAAAAGTCATAAATGTCATCAAGAACATAGGCTGAGTTTTCACCTGTGTCTATTTTGAAACAAAGCATAAGACAAGATTGCTTTCCAAGGCCACAGTCCACACTGCACTCTCCCCAGTTTTCCTTAATCCATCTGAAAATCAAACCATCATAAAACTGTTTAAGGTCAGGATAAAGGTCGTAAACGCCATCAAGAAAATAGGCTGAGTTTCCAACTGTGTCTATTTTGACACAAAGCATAGTTTGAGTTTACTTTCCAAGCCAGAGTCCACATTGCACTCTCCACAGTTTCCCTCAGTTCATCTGAAAATCAAACCATTGTAAAATTGTGAAAGGTCAGGATGAAGTTAACTCCATGGTTAATTGCGCTATTAGGTTTGAAATGTTTGAATTTTACTTATTCTAGATTCTAGCAAATTATATATATTTTACAGAAGAACCGTTTAAATTCTTTTGACAGCTAACATGGGCAGCCAGGATGGGTTGAAAGAAGCAACAGCTCAAAGACAACTTATCTCAAGCATCAGAGACTGTTGTTTGCTAATTCTATGGATAAGTGAAAAACTGATGGACTCTTAAAATTCTTCAACCCCTTTGGATTCATGCAGCAAAAGCATAAAAGAAATGAAAGACCACTATAAAAAGACACAAATGCACAATTTTCATATAGGCAAATTATGCAATGTAAGTATCCTACAGAACAGCCAGATTTCTTTAGTGTGCTCTGACCAACAGTTATGCGATATTGGACTGAAAGAGTTGAAAATTAAATAAGAAATAAAGTTGACATGTTATATTAATAATGAACTTACTTGTACTCATGTGATGTTAATGTGTCACACGCTTTCCCAGTACACGTCTGGTTTCTATCAGGTGCCTCCTGCTGTGAACACAGTTCAGGACTTGCTGCCCTTCCTGTCTCTTGGTCTATGCAGCTGACAGCCCGCAACTGGTAGCCTGTTTAAAAAAAAAATAATCCACACTTTAATAAACTGGTTACTGAATCAACATCATAGCAGGCAGGACAGGCCCACAGACACTCCTGCAGTAAATGTCTTAAGGTGTAGATGCTGATTATTCCAGCTGCACAATTGGGTTACACAAGTCATCAACTTCCTCTCATACCTCTTTCCTTGTGGCATCCACTTTACTCTATATTCAGACATTTAGGATATGTTAGCTTATTTAACCCTCTTAGCACGGACAGGCCGATTATCGGCCGGCGGATGTCTGGCCAAAAACACGGAACGGCCGATGATCGGCCCGAACGTGTTTCGCCTCAAACCGCTAAGAAATCTCCTACTTTGAAACACTGAAAGTGATTCATTTATATTAACTGCGGTATCAGCTTTACACATGGTGACTTTCGAGTGTTTGGTATCGAAGTGAAAATTGTTGAATTTTTTTAGATAGTGACCTGAACCACTAAAAGTATGTCTGACTCGTATGTTTCTGCCCCTAAACTTGATGTTGATAAAACATTTGAAACAAGAGATGACACTAATTCTGTTGATACTGGTGCAGGATTTAGTGTTAGTAGTAATAGTGGGAATCAGATGGGGACGCTGTTGTGTTCAGACAACAGCCCAACTATGGCTCAGGGTATAGAAGATTTCAAATTAAAAAAAATTTTTGTTTTTAGTTTTATGTTTCAAGCATTGAAGTTGAAAATTCAAATTCATATTTTCTATTTTTAGATATGCAAATGAGATAATTTGCATATACATCAATTAATTTTAATGATATTGTGAAAATCACGAACTTCAATCTATATCCTTCAAATAGATATATTATTTCATAGGGGTCAGAATAACAGAAATCTGTCAAAAAAATTAAATAAAGTAATAACCAAATTCACTGAAAAAATGCTCCGTGTTTTTGGCTAGACCTCTGAAAAACTTCCCGTGCTAAAAGGGTTAACATTGTGACCTCTATCAACTTCCATGCATAGTCTTCAAGCACAACTGTATAGAAGATGAAAAACACATGATGAAAAGCATAATTCTACATATATCCTGCTACCAGTGTCAAGCACAGACAAGGTTAAAAGGCCAAAACAATACTTTCCAACTGTAGTAAATCTGAACACAGAAAACAAATAATAGATTGCACAATGTATTACTATGCATATTTCACCATATCTCATCAGATGTCTGACAGGTGCAGACAAAATGATATGGTTATAAACCTTTGTTTGCCCTGATAAAACAGGCAGACTTAGTGTGGTTGATTTTGTATTTCAAAAGGATTAATTTTTTTCTCTTTATACTTGTTCCTGTAGTATGCTGGTAATTTATGAAAAAGTTAGTTGTGTATCATTTACAGTACGTTGCAGAACCTACAGCAGCATTGTTTACTGTTTGTGATTGTAGTAGACAATATGACATTTAATATTTTTCCATTGCTTTCTGAAAGGTCAGCTTTCAATACCACTGTCGAAAACGAACATTAGGCCGTTTGCTGCCAAGGTGGCCACATCTGGGATCGAACCTGGCATCTTGGCATTACGAAGCCGATTTGTAATAAAACATTGGAAATTATTCCAGGTGATAAATTATGCTATAAATTATGTTCTAACTGTTTGAATTTAAAAGTGAACCAATAATCCAATGAATATATTTTTGTATAATGCATTTAAACAGCCATTACTTACCAGTACCACATTTTTCAGAACAGGATGTCCAGCTCCCAAACACCCATTCATAACGGTGTTGCAAACTTTTTGTTGTGAATCCTGCCTTTGGTACAGAGAATTCAAATTCCACATATGGGTTGTGACTGGCAGATCTCATCTGGGACAAGAAAATCAATGAACATGTGCAGACAACTCAAAATATCAGCAATAACTCTTTGAGTCCCAGGAGATTTAGCATCACAGGCCCAGGGGGTAGTGAAGAAAGTAATAAAATCGGCGCACCATGCGTTTATTAGGCTTCTAGGTAGGAACCTATGAACGTATGATGCATTCCTTGGGACTCAAAGAGTTAATGATCAAATGAAACTTGAAGGTACAGTGTACATATCTGATTGTAAACTTCACGCACATGGGCAGCAAAAGCAGAGCAGTTCACTGATGGCAGCATAAAATTAATGGATTGAATCTTGGGGTGGATTTGTTTTTAAATTATTGAAATAAAAATCAGACTCAATGTGGATTTCAACCTCATAACTTTGGATTGGAGTCAAGCATCTAGCTGCTACAACCACTATGGTTTCCCATGGCTTTCATTCATTTATAAAATCAGTATTTCACTCAAATGGAGCAATTTCTATTAGTGTCCTCTTGAGTCAAAGGGTGGACACTCTTCTTCTAAGTAAATGTATTTATGCATATTGCAGTGTGTGTCTGTATGTGTGTTATGCGCATGAGTGTGTTATGTGCATGTGGTTGTAAACTATTGTAACATATCATTCTCTCATTGCAGGCAATTTTTGTCATCTTCATATGTTCAAAATGAGAACAACTACTAAATATAAATTATGGGCAAGAACTGGGATGGATGTCATTTATTACTAACAATGTATGCGGGAACAAATCGAGTAAGCAATGCTAATTCAAGGCAAACACGCAGTTTGGATGAAGTGTGCCACATGAGAAAAGCCTGAAATTGTGAGTGGAACTTTCGAATTAACGAGAAGTAGAATACGTTATTTAAATTTGGAGCAATGAGAAAGCTCGGTCGTATTTTCAACCCTGGTAGACTTTGGTCTTCTAGCACTGGAGATTGGGAACTGAGTGCTGAGAATTATGAAGGAAGTGAGTTATTGTTCATGTGCTGACCTGGTTTCCTGAAAAAATCTGGCCATGTTCATAGCCTGACATATGAAATGGCTAAACTGTGTGAGTGTTTTTTAATGCAACTTTATGAGACCTGAAGTGCCAACAGTTAGTAGTACTGAATAACCTGATCAGGTAATGAATGTGCATTCTACTGTTCTTTTGTAGCTTTTATCTTAGACACAAAACTTCTGGCCCACTGACAGGGAACTCACTGGAGAATTAAACAGAGTAGTTATCAGCTGTTCAGTGTTTCCTAAAATTAGTTCATATTTCAAGCCTACTATGTTGAGGTATCTGTCAATGTGTCTGAGCAGGCTACATAACTAGAGCCCAAGAGGGTCATTGCTACTATGTAATCAAGCTAAACCAGGTAAGTAAGTTTTGCAGCATTCAGAGGTTTTTGCTCACATAATTTCTTTTAGCAGTGGCATCTATGCCTTTATAACATCTTTAGTGCTGGTTGCTGCTGCATAGTGTGAAGACATAGTAGGTATAATTACGTCTATTAAATAATGTTTTTTTAAATGAGTTATTATATGGGTTGACAATGGTGCAATTTTTGTCTGTGATGTCATTACAACAAAATAATAATTTAGATGTCAATTGGCTGCAAATGGCTAAGTCAACAAAGAAATTTTTTTTTCAGTCGAAGTGGAAGAAAGTTAACTCTCTGTTGCATTTGTGTTTAGTGAATAAATACCTTCATATAGTGATATTATTTAATTTAATGATAGCAAAACATTGACTAATCCACATCCCCTCCCCCCTCCCCCCAAGATGAGGTCCTGGAATCTGAATCAGGAATGTATACTTTAAAAGGTGCCTCTCTCACTATCTCTCCAATGGAGTTGGATTAAAACAGGAAAAATGCTTGCAAACTTACCACGTTAGTGAACATTAAATGTAAGGTGTCATTCAAAGGTCCACGTGCTGAAAACTTCACTCCATTAGCTATGACATTGTAGTGGAAATGAGTTCCAGCAAAATCAACAGCATGTCTTTTTCTGTGGTTTGTGAAAACTTCAGACAATTTCAGAATGTTGCCATCTTTAGTAGTTAGTTCTGTCATGTTGAAAATAAATTAGAAGAAACTGGATTTCAGTGTTTTACATACACAGGGCAGCAGCCCAAACATAAGCAGGGCTCCACACACACAAACACATGCATTGCCTCATATTTCAATTTCAGTCAAAATATATTGTTAAAAAAACTTACGCAGTTATCCAATGGCAAGTTTTTGTTTGTTGGTGTGAAAACTCAAATGCCTAAAAACTGTTGATGACCCAGATGTGACAACACTATTAACTGATTGGTTGAGCAGTTTGAACAATTTCACTCATTAAAAAATCATTGATTTTCATTGTCATATTTATGTTCCTTTCAGTGGCTGTTTTTTTCTTTTTTTTTAGTAGTATACATTACCCACACATTCCACGCTTAAATACCACCTTACACAACAAGGAAGACTGCATGAGAAAATTGTATACTGATAGCAGTTTTACACTCGAGAACATTTTTTACCCTGTAGAAATTTTATACAAGCGGTAGTCAACAAGTAGGAATACTGAGATACCACAATTTATATACCTCCATTCTGAACTTGTTTTTGTTTTTTGTTCTCTGTTCTACCCGCAAGTGGTTTTCAGATGAGAAAGCTGCAGGCCCCTATGAAGTCTGTGTTGTGATGTATGTCTTTCCCTGTTCCATACAGCATGGTTTTTATTGGAATTCCAACCAGCCTAATCTGGGATCTTAGCTGCATGTAGTGAGCATGTCTCTAGTAAATGTTCAGCCATTCTGTTCTAACCTGTGAAATCAATATTACGAATAGAAGCCAGGCCAGCATTTCTAGCTTCTTTTATCAATGTTTTAGGGTTTCTCATCAACGTCCTCTTTTCCCAGTTGATATATTTCTATTTCAGTGCATAAATGTAGGTACACTATAGGATTACTTTTTGATCTACAGCTTCTATTGTGAATTCAAATGTGAATAAAATGTAGTCATCCTATCTAGTACAAAGCTCCTTTTCTCAAAGAAGATCTTGGTAAATTCTATAAATATTTAACATCCAGTTGTAATGGCATATGAACCATGAAAATGTCAAACCATGAACACATATTTTAAGTAAACAAGATGCAGGGTGATTCTAGAATTGGTACCTGGGATAGTAGAGCTGTGCATGAATTAGGAAGGACAGCAGAATTGGCAGAACAGCATGAAATATTAACAATTTGGTAGCATACACAAAAAGAGTAGAAGGATGAAGAGCATAGGGCAGAGCAAGAACACAATGGAAAGATGACATCAGATAAACTCTACAACAGCAAAATGTGTCTTATGGTTGAGGCGGCCAGAAGAAAAGGGAGCAGAACTGTATATCACTCTCGACACCCACAGCAGTAAAAGAGGAAGTTAAGAAGAAGAGGTTGGGTATTTTGCAAAGCAGGATGGCAATGAGTAAGCAAACTGATCTCACACATGCATGGAGCACAACCATTCTCAGGTCATACAGAGAAAAATATCACTCATGATGAATTATAATTAAGCCATCTGGCAGATGCTCGAGGCTCAGAGGAAAGGCAAGACAGACATTTAATCAGAATGCTACTGGCACCATTAGTATCGGAACTCTTCGTAGGCTGCTGAAGATTGGGATGGAGCACTTATGGGAATGCCCCGAGTGTTGTGATGTCGATTCTTGAATCAAATCAATCAATCAAAGATGGTGAGATGGTGAAGCCAAAATGATATCTAAAAAGGCAGCGAAAGTATTAATGTAATGATGGTAAGCAGCTAATTCTAAAATAATAAGAGCAATATTTAAAACCATAGAAAAGAACAAGAAAGTGATCACGGCATTTGCAAGAGTTCAGACAAATATATCGTTAGACTGAAAAAAAGTTTATACAGATGTATCCTGGAATTGAAAGAGTTCAAATATATTATGGGATTGTAAAGTTCAGACAAATATCCTCAGAACTGCTGCTATCTATTAACATAACATAAAAGATAAAGGATCCTTTTCCATGTCCTTAACCAAACTGGGTATGAAGTGCTAGACTTACATTTTACAGACCAGTCGGCACTCAGAGTGTAATGTGGTCATCATTACGTTCTCCACTTCAACTTCCCAGGACTTTAATTGGGACCCAGTTTAGGTTGAGTCGACCTGGAAACCAAGATCATTTCTGAAATAATTCTGGCTCAATACATAGTCACTGAGTCATTACACCACCGCATCTTCCGTCTGTTAAAACAGGTACATAAACATTACTTACCTACTTTTCCTGATGATGCTGATAATGAATGCTGTTTGATTACTATTTTAGAAGCACCTAATGGAAATGTGGTAATCTGTGTTTTCTTATCTGCAAGAGAGAGAAAGAATATCAAAGGTCAAAATTATACCTTACACACAACTGATGAAGTATATATAAAATTACACACACACACTGAGACATTTTTTCTCATCATTTGTTCACTTACAAGGTCTTGACCAGATATTTTCAGATATGACTTTCTAATCATCTTTGTCATTTGGTGTTTGTTTTTCTTGTGTGTTGAAGGTGTTGTTGCTTACACTATTTTATGTTACCACTTGTTTACATTTTGTTCACATAAGCTTTATCAGTCTTTATAAGTGTTTTTTTGCAAGTACTTTTCCACATTAACTCTTTCAGGCCCATGCATTTTGACAGACGGCTCACATTACTTACCTTTTATAAAAATGGCAGAGGGGTGTTGTAAATAAAAAGTAACTAAGAATGTAATATATTTCTAATCCCTACAAAAGTACAGACTTTTTTTTAAAAACAGGAATGAATGTACATTTTCAGTCTGATATTTTTTGTTTATTACTGTTATAATTAGTTTAAAAAAAGAAAGAAGAATTCAATATGTGTTATGTTAACAAAGACACAATTTTACAAAATACATCTTCATTTGCCATGGTTTTGCAGCCACATGAGCAGTGAATATTCAAATTTGAGAATAATAACACTTTACAGTTTGTTCAACAAATTCAAAATTTATGATATGTTTCTGGGTTAGTTTATCACTTAGATAGTCTAGGGTCTCATAGAAAGCTAAACAAAATTTGAAAGATAAAAAGTTCTCATTAGAACAAACAGCTGACTGCTCAGCTGTGATATGTGTACATTCCGAAAAATTAATTAAAATTGTCATTGTCATTAAAAGAATCAGTAAATATATGAAAAAATTTCAGAGCATCTGGCACAAAAAAGAGCATCTTTTGGGCCTGTTTTTGTGTTCAGAACTTTGGTTGAGTTGAGTTAGGAATTGACATCGAAGAACTCGGTGTATTCCCATGTATGTTCGGTCCTAATCTTCAGCAGCCAGTGCAGAGTTACAATACAGATGGTACTGGCCACAATCTGGTTAAATGTCTGTCTTGCCTTTCCTCTGAGTGTAGTCAGCTGGCCAGACTCTCTGGTTACACACAGGTGCCTCATTCTCTCCAGGCTATAATCTTCTTTCTCTGCTGATTCCGTTGCTTGATCCCAAAGAGCCTTCACCACATCTGCAGATCCAGCCAATCTGTCTGCCTGTTCATTACCCACCACACCAACAAAGCCTGGAGAAATGATCCAAAGTATGCTCACTACCTGTGACCTTTCCTGTTAAGCTTGCCACTCTACTCGAAGCATCCCTGTTTTCACCTTTTTCAGCATGCTTTCAGAGTCTGTTAAATTCAGAATTTTGGTATCCATGGCCAGTCAAACACCAAATCAGAAAATGTCCCTGTATGAAATTGATGCTACCAATAAATTAATTTGCTCCCAAATGGGTGAACAAAGACTTGAATGATAAAGGTTAAAGTAATCTTCCCTTAATACTTTAATGATAGTTCCACTAGGCATTAGAAAAAAAATACAGAGCTGTATGTGAATCAATATATATACGGAACACACGCTCGCCGTAGACAGTGTTGTTTGGGCAAATCAGAGCTTCTCAGTCATCACAAACACCATTGCTCGGGCTTCAAAGAGTTAAGCTTATGTCTCTATTCCCCCACTTGTGTGGCTATGTTTGATAAATTGCATGCCTTTTCCTTATAGTTCTGACAGGTAATTATTTAATATGTGTATATAATTTGTTGTACTTTAAAACGACTAGTTTTTTTTTTTTTTTTTAAATCTCCAGCATATTCCCAACATTCTGTTCAAAAACTCATACCTTTAGACTCAAGTTTTTTAGTAACTTCAGTTATTCATTTCTCAGCAATTACAACGAAAAATCCCCCCAAAAAATCAGCTTTTGGAAATTTAGTTTTTCAGTAAGCGGATTTTTATATTACTTTTCATAACATAATCTTTTCTTGCATGACATTTCTCATAAACAGTGTCTTATAAACAGATTAATATAGATGTTTATTTACCTTTTAGTTTAAATCTCAATAGCAATAGAAGTTTGCAAGCGTTATTATTTAAATTACAGCCTTTAATTACAATTAGACACAAATTCTACATTTTCAATGATCTTAAAATCGACTGTTTAAAATGTTTTAACTGTCTCACTTTTAAGGTACAAATGTACACATTATTGTAATTTTTTTTTTAAAGCAGACATCGAAAAATTGTGTTTGGAACATTTTATACATTGTCAAGTTGAATCTATTATTACTTTTTTTTTTTTTTAACATTACAAACAGTGAGTCAGTGCACAGCTTAAAATAAAAGATGTTATCCTACACACATCCAGGGCTGTTTTTCTGGAGGTACTCCAGAATATCTAGGAAATTATTTTGACAGGGAAAGGACTTTATGCTTTGAAGTTGACATCAGCGGACATAAAACAGAAAATGCCCTATATACTAGGGCTGTACCAAATATTTGCTTCGGGGCCAAATAGTGGACCTATTGACTATTCAGTATTCGGCCGAATAGTTGCGGTCAGGCCGAATACAAAAAGTAGTTACCTTACACCCGCTTCTGCTTACATGGCCTTAATGCTGACAACATGGAACGATTGGTTTTGTTGAAAACTAATGCAGCTTTCCTACATTAACTAAGCTGTCAGTGACAATTTCCAAGTTTAGTTACTTGTTATAATGCTTAGGATTCTTTCAATCCTAGTTATTAGTTACCACAGACTGACTGAAGGATGTAAAACATAAAATGTTTTTAAATGTTTACTATTCTGTACGAATACTAACTAGACATGAAAAGAATATAAACTCCGGCCACATCCAAGTCAATAATATGAAAATCAAACGAATGGAAACATATAAGTACTTGGGTGAAAACTTCAACTGCTCCAACATGTTGAGAGAAGAAATGCAATCTAGAATACAATCTAGAAATAAAGTATACTATGCCTTTCAACATCTGCTAAAGTCAAAGTGTCTGTCTTGCATTACCAAGATCAAAATATATAAAACGGTAAGACCAGTCATTTTATATGGTTCTGAAACTTAAAGCAGAAATAAAAGAGATGAGGCCTTATTACAGGTTTTCGAAAACAGTCTTATGACAAATCTTTGGACCCATCAAAGATGCTAACAGTGGGAAATGGATAGTGAGAAGCAACAACATAACACATAATCTGTTTAAATCACCATTGATCACTGGCATCATGAGAGCTAACAGACTAAAATGGTTGGGGCATTTTGAAAGAATGTCAGATGACAGAGAAGTAAAACTGTATACACATGAGAGAGGAAGGGGCGTAGACCATGAGGCTGACATAACAGAAGTTCGAAAGATAATGTCTAGCCAGACCTGCAAACAGCTGGTGTCACAAATTGTGAAGAGAAGGTCAGCCAGAGAGATGAATGGAGACGAGTGATATCTGCAGCTGTAAACCTTAAGGGCTCAGAATGCTAAAGAAGAAAATGACTATTTTATGCTACTTTATGTAAAGTAAATGTTCAGCGTACATTTTACATTATAAATGTGTTTTTTTTTTAAAGATATGTGTATATATATACACTATAAACTATTCGTATTCGTATTTGTATTCAGCCGAATAGTAAAAATCACTATTCGGTTCAGCCCTACTATATACTCTACCATCAACTGTTTATTTTGGTAATGGAGTATGGTTTATCTCACACCTAATTAGAGAAGTTGGAATGCATTAAAAATGAAGCCATGTGAGACATTTTAAGGAGTACGTGAGACATGCCAATTGTTTGCATGCGGCACACACTTGCATTCCATTCGTATATGAGAGATACAAGGTTTTACAGATGAAAATATACCATAAAGTCACAACGGACAGGGAACACCTTTTACATGAGGGCCTAGGGGATAGCAAGGAACAACGGCTGAAAAGAGATGGCTCTTGGATGGCGCAGGCAGAAATGATCAGAATGTTTTTGCTACTGAGAAGATAGTGCATGGAGAAGAATGTGTTACAGTGTCACCCAGCAGAACAGACTTGCACAGAGTGATAGTTACCTTGGACCGATGGTGACGGAAATGGTTAGCTGGTGAAACAGTCAGTGGTGCAAGAGCTGATCAATGAAAATTCAGGCCCGGATGACCTCATAATATATACAGATGGGTCTGCAGTGAGAGGTAAGAAGAGTGGGTGGGTTTTTTGTGCAAAAGGAAATGGAAACTGCTTGAAAACAGAGAGCCTTGCATACAATGTCACTACATCCAGTATGACAATGGAGGTGGAGGTAGTAATGGCAGCTTTCCAATGGCTTGAGAATAGCACAGCCTGACATGGTGTGATTGTAACAGACTCACAGACTGTTACAGAAAAATGAAACTGGTATCATGCATGCAGAGTGGCTTCATAAGACCCAGATCAGATGCACATAATGGAATTTCCTCCAGAATTTTCAGGTAGCAAGGTAATGAGCAAGCTGACAGATTGGCTGCTACCGCTCCTGTTGAAAGTTGAAAAAAGAATCGACATCATAGCACTCAGGACACCTCAATACGTGTTCGGTTTCCATCTTTAGCAGCAAGCAAAGAGTTCAAATTCCGATGGTACCAGTAACCGTCTGATTGTATATTCATCTTATCCTTCCCCTGAATGTTGAGTGTCAGCCAGATCCCTAGGTAACTCCTCGCAGCACCATTCTCCTAGACCATAATAATCTGTTTGCGCCTCCTCACTGTTCACTTACTTCCAAAGGACCCTCACAATATCAAACTTGTCATATATCAACTCACCACTAAGTGGTGAAGAGCCAGCCAGTCTATCTGCCTGCTCATTTCCCAACACACTGGCATAACCTGAAGAAAATATGCAAAGGATGTTTACTACCCAGGACCTCTGAAGTTATGCTTGCCACTCTGCACAAAGCATGCCCATTTACACCTTTTTCAGCATGCTCTGTGAGTCAGTTACAATGACGGCATGTGTTTACAAATGATTCACAAGCCAGCGGAAGGCAGCTGCCGCTCCTCTGGGTGGTGACCTACTATATTATGATGCAGATGTGGGGAAGGCTCTATGGGATCAAATAAAGAGTGCAGAAGAACAGATAGGGAACCCATATACTGTAAGATTGAGGGGGAAATAGAGGTGGACTTTTTCACTATTAGCATGTCAACTTTTTGTTGGTTGCTGAAGAAGGAGAAAGAGCAAGGAATGGGATCGTCCCTAGTGCAGTGAGGTGAATTCTTGATTTATTAGCTCATTCATTCATTCATTCATGCATTCATTCATTCATTCATTCATTCGTTCATTCATTCATTCATGCATTCATTTATTTATTCATTTGTCTATTCATTCATTCATCTATTTATTCATTTATTCATCCATTCATTCATTCATTCATTTATTCATTCATCCATTTATTTATTCATTTTTTCATTCATTTATTTTTTCATTCATTCATTTATTCACTCATTCAATCATTTATTCATTCATTCAATCATTTATTCATTCATTCATTCAATTATTCATTCATTCTGATGGTACACAACAGTATCTAGGCATAATATTTGTAAACACTACTGTAATAGACACGTTGTAGTGAGTGTGACCAACTTTCTTACACACTGTGATTAGTACTAGCAGCTTTGTTTAACGAAAGAAAAGAAAGAAAAACACCTGCACACATCTACCAATGACTTATGAAGAAAATCATTACAAAGAACTCACTAAATTCAAGTGTCTGACCCAGTGTTGATCCAGACTCAGTGTTGCAGGTCCCTCCATCTCCTCCACACACCAGGCACTTGTCTTCTGCTTTTAACGAACCAAGCAAATGGTCACATCCTACAGGCTGTAACAATCAAGGCAATGAGTAGCAATAAAGAACTATCTACAAGGATAAACTGTCTACATAATAAACTATTTACAGTAATAAACTATTTACAATAATAAACTATGTACAGTAATAAACAATCTGCAATAATAAACTATTTACAGTTTAAAAAAAACTTTACAGTGGTAAGTTATCTACACTAATAAACTATCTACAGTGTACTGTACAGCTAATCAATCAATAATGAAACAATGTTTCTATTATTAGTTTAGTGGCTTGGATTCTGCACTTTGACTGCAGCAGCAGGGCTCTATTCCCTGCTTGGTAAACACCATATGTTTCCATACATAAGAGGCTTTTTCGCCCCCCTCACTTCCCCCCATGTATGAGGCGACATCTATTTGTTTAGCCCAGAATGAAGAAATAAATATTTTAAACTGTGTATAAGACATTTCCCAATTTTTAGCTTAAATATTTTCTAAGAACAAATTGTTTTATACATGGTAAAATGCAATAATCTTCGGGTGGGCCACTGTAGCATGGTAACTAAATGCTCGCCTGCTGACCTTAAAGTCTAGGGTTCAAACCTGCATTGACATGGAACATTTTCCAAACGTATCTTGGTCTTCATGTTGATCCATCCTAAAACTGGTATGAAATAATGTCCCAGGTAGTCAAGGTAGCAGTAATGCTGACCATATCAAACTCTGATGGCGGAAAGACCTATGAAGCATAGGCCTAGCAATATTCCTTTACAATGAAAGTTGTCTGAAATGGCTCTATAGGATTTTCTATCTCTCAATGTTTTTGTTACACTCTCAGAATTCACCCAGCTTCTAAATAGACGGTTTAAATGTTTTAACTGTCTTATTTTTAAGACAAAAGTTTATGGAACAATTCAAATCACACCCAAGTCAGGCCCAGAAAGAAAGTGACTTTCCTTGCCATTCATCTCTGGTGGTGTCGCAGGGCCTGTCCTACAATGCTGAGTTGTCACGCTTAGTGAGCGTCCAGCAACACAAAGTATTTAAAGCCTTGTCTTCATAGGCTGCTTGCAGTCGTAGGACGTAAGCTGCATTCTTAACTGTGTTTGGAACATTTTATACATTGTCAAGTTGAATCCATCATCCCTTTTTATCGTATGAAAACAAATGTTGACTGCCTCTTTCTCCATATTCCTAACCATTTGTATGCCCTAACACTTGCCAACAGATTTGCTCATTTTGGTTAAATAATTGTTGACTTCTTGAGTAAAACCAGATTTCTTTAATTTTAAGACATTTTATTGATTGTTAACTATGGCTCAGGACTCACGTCAAGATGGAAAACTTATTCTTTGTGATGTAGAACAATATTTCATGTGTATTAAAATGGAATACATATCAATATGTTCTTATCAGGAAATCACCCCATAAATTTGGAACACAAGTATTGGGTTTAGAAGGCGAAGGCAAAGGTATGCACATCCTAACAACCCTACAACATAGTACAGCCAGTGGGAACAACCACGGCTTGAATGGTAGCCACCACAAAAACACGCCCCCGATGTAGTTGGGCGATTACCTTTGTATGTACCTATCAATACACTGCAGAAAGGAAACAAAATGAGGAGTGAGTTTTGTGTGTCCCTGACATTTTTATGCCAACATATAAGGCAGAAAGAGATGATCACATCCACAGTGAAAGCAATAATAAACAATAATATCACTACACTGCACAATCATCATAAATCTCATGCTGTTAAATGTAATACCGATGTAAGCATAGCTTTTTCCCCTTTAATGCTCACCACAAAATGTCTAAAAGGTGCTGGTACTCATGGGCCTCAGCAGGGGGAGTCAAAGGGGGCACTTTTCCCCCTCTGGATTGATTGAAAAAAGTCAAATAATGTTACTTATATTTTTTTAAACTTGTAAATCGAGCCGTGAGTATTACTAAACCTTACCATACATTAACTATATAACATGCTCTCCTTAATGTCAACCGCAAAAGCAAAAATTGGCCGGCGGGCGTGGGACCTTCTGATATCAAAATCCTAGTCAATTCCATCTTCCACGCACGTCGCCGCCAAAAAAGTAATAGAAAAATATAAATCAGCTATTTTAATTTCGTTATAAATTTTGTTGTATGAGCTACATGTTTTATTGTACAGTCCTATGCTTGAATAATTAACCCTACGAGACTGCTGGCCCGGTTTACCGTGAAATTTCTTAACCTGTCTCTATACCACTGGCCCTAATTTTTGGCTTTTTGCGTAGTACGGGAAACGATGCGTCACGAACTAAAACTAACCACCCAGTCGTTATCAATCCTCTTTGTCAGACATGATAATTTCATAAAGAATACGTTCTTGAAGTGACACTGTCAGCGAGAGCGCGAATAATGAGGAAAATCTTGAAAATTATAAATACTGAAATAGATCGATAGTAGGAGGAGGGGGTGTGTCCATCAAACGGCAACATCTGGTGTTCACTTTGTGAAACAAAGTTGATCCTGATGAGTGAATTCACACACAAAGGTGGAATATTGGCACAAGATAAAAGGTAAGCCTATTTTCTACAATGTCTTCAAGTTTCATCATATTCTAGCCACTCGTTTGCATGTAACTAATATTTTTGTATATCATGTTGGTTTTTTCGCAGTAATGCCCAGGAGCTCAGTTTATAGGGACAGTTAGGTTCAGGGCCTCATGTCTGGTAAAGTTAGTGAGGTTGTTTGCACATAAAATGGTTAAAATTATCTTGTAAGCCTTTAATAATCTAATTATTGTGATTATTTTCCATTAGTTATAATTACTAAGCTTGTTATATTGTAAATTAACATAATTTTTTTTTTTTAATTTTGTTATATTATTATAAAGATTTTTGTTTCTTAACTTATATTTATTTTAATTTCTACCAGGCCTGTGGAGACTGGTTGGGTTTTAGTTTTAGTTTAAGTTTTCTTCTTTTTTGTTTATTCTTTTTTGTTCTTTTTTATTTATTCTTTTTCTTTGCCTTCTTTGTTACTTTTAGGCGTCATGGATATCCGGAAATTTTTAAAACCTCTCAGACAGCCACAGCAATCTTCTCCAAATGTTGAAGAAATAACGTTAACTCATGTCTGTAAAAAGCGGAAAACAGATGCTGTTGCTTTTTCATCTGCAGCAGCAATGCTATTACCAGAACCAGACCCTGACAAGCTTGAAAGTGGAGATATTAGGTTAACCTATGACATTGGACTCTATGTAAAATCTACTACGAAGATTCCTATCGATCTTAAGCTTGAGTTTCGTTTGCTAACTGATCCATACAAGCCTCACCCGTCATATGATTTTGAAGGCAACATGTCAGAATGTGCAAAACATTATTTCAGGGAATCTTGGCTAACCCAGTATACTCCATGGTTATCATACTAACCTAGGTTAAAAGGTGCTTTTTGCATTTTCTGTGTTTTATTTCCTCAAACAGTTCAAAGAGGAATTCAAGGTGCCTTCATTACTACTCCTTGTACAAATTACAAAGATTTTAATTAATGTGCCAGAAACCATACCAGCTCAGCATGGCATCGTGGGCCTCAACAAGATGCTGAACATTTTGCGTCAACCATTAGAGATCCAAATAAGGATATTATTTGTCGGATAGATAATTCTGTAAAAAAAAAAAAAGTGTAAACAGAAACTGTATCCTATTATTTCAACAATCTTATTTTGCTGAAAAAGTGATTTGGCAATTCGTGGGAAAGACAGCACCAAAGGAAATGTCGAACAACTTTATGCATATCGAATTGAGGGAGGAGACAGTATTTTAAAAAAGCATTTTGATACAGCTGCTGGAAATGCACGTTACACATCACACCAAACGCAGAATGATTTGATCAATTTGTCCGAATAAGCTCTGTGAGAAGACATTGTAAAAGCTGCTAACAATGCTGTTGGATTCTCGATCATAGCCGATGAAACAGCAGATATCTTGTATCTTGTAGATACGTTTAGTGAGAAGGCTATGATTCATGAGGAATTCCTTGGATTTTCTCTGCTGAAAGGTATGGTCGCCGCCACAATATTTGATTGTATTATTCAACATTGCAAAACATTTGGTCTTCTCCTTAATAATCTGCTGGGTCAAGGTTACGATGAGTGCTCGACAATGGCCGGAAAAGAAAATGGTGTTCAGTCAAAAATTTGAAGTATTTACCCCAAGGCTGCCTTTGTTCACTGTGCCTCACATAGACTGAATCTCGTAGTAAATGATCTTAATAATGTTGCAGTGATATGAAATACTATTGGTACTATCAAAGCAATTATTAAATTTTTTTCCTGAAAGCCCAAAAAGGAGGTCCTCTGTCCCAAATATTCCTCTTCTGTGTGAGACAAGATGGACAAGCAAGTATAAAAGTATTCGGATTTTTTCTAGTAAATTTGAAGATATTTATTGTCAACTGGAAGAATTTTCATTGCATGCAAGTGGAAATACACGACAGGCTGCACATCAGTTATATTGTTCATCAAAGTCCAGCACGTTTTTGTTTTGTCTAAATATTATTTTGCAGTACTCTGCCATACTGGAACCAGTTTCTCAGGCTCTTCCAGCTGTTCAAGTCGATCTTCCAGAAGTCCAACTGCAAGTTCAAAACCTGCTCAGTGTAGTAAAACTTCACCGAGGTGATTTTGATAACTATTTCAAGGGATATTTTTGAGAAAACAGTGCAACTCGCACAGAAAGTGGATTTTGAACTGATTATCCCAAGACAGTGTGGAAGACAAAAGCATTGAAGTAATCCGGGAACCATAAGTGTTGAAGAGTACTTCAGACAAACAGTTTACATTCCATCCTTAGATTCTCTAATTAACTCAATGGAGAGTCAATTTTGTGAAGCCAACAGTGCACAATTTAACTTAGCATTGCTACATCCTTCGAAATAGTGCAAACTGAATCGTCAACAGTTTAAGGATATAATGTCTACTATTAATCAGGTATACCACATTGATAATTTTGAAACTGGAGCCTTGAGTTGATTTGATTTTTGGAAAACGTGAGAATACAAAAGTAGCCAAGATTTAATTGACTTGTTACCTTTTACAAAGTTTTATCCGAGTGTCAGGTATGCCTTACTACTTTTGCTAACATTACCAGCAACAACATGTACGGTGGAGCGATCGTTCAGCACATTACGTCGTGTAAAAACATGGCTTAGATCTACAATGTCAGATGAATGTCTGTCTGGATTGTGCATGTTAAGCGTACACAGAGACAAAGTGAACTGCAACAAAAAAGACTTTATGGACAAAATTGTAGATATGTTTGGTAGTGATAACAGACGACTCCAGTTCTTGTTTGAAGAATACATTTTGTTTTAAATTTTTGTTGTATTATTTTTTGTTATATACATATATACATATATTGTGTTAATAAAAAATTTGTTGCTACAGTATGCCCTTCATTACAACAGTGTCATGTCCATTTGTTCACCACACAAATACGCTAGAGTAAATTTAAACCACATTAAAACATTACTAAAAATATTCCCCAGGAAAATTTTCTGCGGGCGCCCATGCTGGTACTAAATTTGAAGTGTATATAAGATGCTGATACTCGCCACAAAAGGGTCCACAACAGTAATGTTGAAATATTACCACCTAAAGATTGTTGGTACAGTGTACCCTTACCTACAGCAAGATAAAAAGAAGCCCTGGATGTAAGTAAATTAAGGAAAGGAAAATATTCATGCTTCTGACACATCGGGCATATAGCACTGGGTCTATTTTTTAGGACCATTCGGTGCATGATAGGGGATGTGGTCAACATAACTGTGGCTGTGTTTACTTCCCAAAGTATTATCTTACCTGTTTTAGACTGGGTCAACCTGCGAGCCAAGGTCACTTTTGAAAAAAAGAAAAGAAAATGGGGATTTAAAGCTAAGATCTTTAGACCATAAGGAAAGTGTTTAGACACTATACCACCATGGCTCCTCTGAGAGGGCTGAGATACAAAATAATTTATCATAATAGTCGTCTAACCTGACAGATGCCACTGATGCACACACCAAACTGGTCACCATGATCACAATGGGTCCCATCTGCCACAGTGTCCAGAAACTTCTGTATGGCCCCTTGTTGGTTTCTACAGTACAGTGTACATGGAGCATCACCATCTGCAAGACAGGACATCAGCAGAAGTGACATGACAGGTTTATTAACTCTTTCAATCACAAGCTGTTGTTACTTTAACTCCTTCTACCAAAAAGTATGTAAGTAAAGTAACGGACCCTTTTCCCACCTTCAGGCTGATTGGGCATGTAGGTCTAGATCTATATTTTATAGACCAAACGGCGCTTGTTGTGTGATGTGTTCAGCATCACATCTGCTTCCTTTACTTCTCAGGACTGCAGCTGATGCCCATTTAAGGCTGGGTCGACCTGGAAGTCAAGATTATATTTTTTAAATGTCAGGCTTTATCAGGACTCCACCCATTGACCTTTCGATCCACAGGCAAGCATCTAGCCGCTACACCACGGCAACCCCTCTGGGCATGTAATGCTAGGTCTACATTGTATAGACCAATCAGAACTCAGTATGTGCTGTGTGGTCAACATCAAACTAGCTGCCTATATTTCCTAGCACTTTGCCTGATACTCACCAAGGCTGGGTTGATCTGGGAGCCAAGGTCATTTTTGAAAATCTGACTCTGGTCAGATACGAACCCACAACTTTTGGATCCACGAATAAGTATCTAGCCACTACAACACAATTTATCGTTCTATCTCAAAGTGTTAAGCTTCAAAACAATAAATGATATGGCCCTAAATATTTCAACACAAACACTATGAAACTTAATTAGTTATACTAGTAATCTGGACAATAAAAAAAAATATTATTCTTCCCTAACAATGGCTGCCAAATTATATTATCTTTTGAATGATCTAAAAATGCAGGGTGTGAGATGTCTGTGACTGAAAGAGTTAAAATCAATGCAGTGTATCTTTCAACAGTTAGGGCTGTTGATGCATAGAAATCATTTTTATGTCATGATGACAAATATCTAGGTTAGCTGAAACCTGTGAAAAGATGAACAAATCTATCACCCAAGCCAACCGAGGAGTGCAATACAAATGCAGAAAACCAGGAACTAGGCTACAACCTTGTATCAGCGAGTCGACAAAAGAAGAGGAAGAATGGCAAATAAAATAAATACCATATTAGAAATAATATGTTCTATACAGACAGACAGACACTTAAAAAGAAAATATCCATGCATTCTTAAGGGCACCAAGTAAACCACCTGCAAATTGTATATGGTGTCACATTACAGAATCAACACACCTACCACAATAAGCTAGCCCACAGTCTGGACACCCCCATAATCGTTGTTGTAACTATGATATCAGATAGTCCATCCGTGGAGATATAGTTCGTGGGTTGTGGGGGAGTCCAGATGTGAGAAATCTATATAAATCACTCTTAGATTGTTTCTTTTAGGCGTTTAGTGTCAATTTGCATGTTAGGACACATTTTCTACGCCCGTTTAAGATTAATTGTGTGACCGCTTCACAGTGTACTTGAGCCATATTCTCACACCAACTATATCTCCACGGACGGACTATCCGATATCATAGTTACAACAACGATTATGGGGGTGTCCAGACTGTGGGCTAGCTTATTGTGGTAGGTGTGTTGATTCTGTAATGTGACAGGTTGAATGGAAGTTTGAACCGAGGGTAAGGCCTCTAGACGAACGAGAGCCACCATTCAAAACACCCTGTCTCAGAGCACCTGAGGGATTTGCGAAAATAATCCGTAAGTAAAGATGCGCGATAAAACTGCCATACAACATATGGAGAGAAAAAAAAAAGGGGGAGGGGAGGGTGGGGATAGGGTGGGAGGGTTGGGGGGTCCCCCTTCAGTTCTTAAAAAAAACCCACAATTTCTCATTTTAAAAAAGAGGGGGAAAAAAGTTGGAAGGGGGTGTAGAGAAAGGCTTAAAGTCATATGAGACTAGTCAAAGTGATGACTTTACCTCTTTGAGTCCCAGGAGGTTTAGCATCACAGGCCCAATGGGTAGTAAAGAGAAACTAAAATCAACACATGCATACTTTAGGCTTCCAGGTAAGAACCTATGAACGTATGATGCGATCCCTGGGACTCAAAGAGCTAAAAGTAAATATTTGTGATTGCTGCAGACTATAATAGTTAACATGATTCAAGTGGAGATTATCATATTAATTGCAATAGATTCTATCACTCTTCATGACCTGCTAGCCATTTGCCTAGAGCAACACACAAAGCACAAACTCCAATTGACAGCAATGATCCTAAGAGAAATTTGTAAAGATTGCGCTCATAAACCAAATGCTGTAATCCTTGAAATGAAACCATGACCTTCAGAGCAAAGCACACAGCCTAACCACTTAGCCACAGAGTTCAACACTGAGTTTTGGAGAAATCAGTCTCTCGCCAGCTCTCCCGCCTTATGCACTTTTATACTCAAGAAGTCACTTATATCATGTGACCATTTTAGTGCTTGTCGGCCCCTGCCCCTCTTTCCTGGTACCATGCGTTCTGCTTTTTTTTTTATCCGTCGCGGCACTTGATATGACCAAAATGTTTCAGCTTCCGAGACAGGGTGCTATTTATTTGCCAATCTTCCTTTTATGTTCAGATCTTTCAAGATGTCAATATTTCTCATCTTCTTTGTCCATGTCATTCTGAGAATCTTTCTATAGCATTTCAGCTCAAAAGCCCCTATTCTCATTCTTAAGGACTGGGAGATAGTCCAAGACTCACATCCGTATGTTGCTATAGGGAAGATGCATGCTCTCAAAATTTGAATTTTGATCTCCTTGCTGCTGCTTAACCATATACTTTTAAGGCTGTTTAATCTTTGCATTGCTATGGCCGTCCTCCTTTTAATTCCTGTCAAACAGTCTCCATTGCTATTTATTATAGAGCCTAGATTTTCAAAGTTTGTGTCATTTTCAATTTATTTATCATTTATTGTTATTCTGTGGTGACAGCCAGTTTTGTTTGTGTACTTTTTTTTTTGGTTATCTTTAAATTCAAGAACAGATTTTGATCTTCACTGTGCTTTTTGACAGATAGTATTTAATTTTCTTATTGAGAAATAGCAAACATAATTTTTTTTGGGGAGGTTAGTTGTATTGCTTCTTCACAGGATTTAAACATATTCTTGCGTTGTAAGAACTGAGTACTTACCAACAAATGGCAGCCAAGTTGTGTTTTTCCTATCAGGAGAAGTGACCTGGGAGATGCACTGGTATGTTCTAAAATCCACAGAACCTAAAGGACATTCCTGCAATAGTCAGAGCAGAATATTATTATAAAATATTGTCTCAAGTTTATTGTGAATATTCTGAAACAATTTTGTAGTGCAACCATAATTATAAAACAGTCATACACACATTGAGTAATTAGAGAATGTAAAAATTAGTTCATCATTATAATCACCATCATGTGCCATGCTGATGAATGAAGTTTGTATGTTTCACCATCTCACATGATCACCAGAACCACAGATCAGGTCAATGTTCTTACCTTGCCCCTTCCATATGTCTAAGACATCCAGATATTTATCTCTTTACCTACACATCAAATACTGACAATCATAGCATATTTGAAAAAATAAATAATTAACAGACATTACCATTTAATTTTCTTCTTCATCTTTTCCATCATCGCCATTCTCCAGCTGATTTTTCTTCTTTATCTTCTTCTTCTCCTCCTCCTTCTTGTCCTCCTCCTTTTTTCCTCTTCTCTGGTTTCTTCTCCTCCTCCTTCTTCTTCCTCTGCTTCAGCTTCAGCTTCTTCCTCTACTTTGGCTTTTTCCTTTTCTTCTTCTTCTTCATTTTCTCACCTTTATCCCCTCTGTCAGTTCACACTAAGTCATTATTAACATAAATATTAACAGGTTACAAGACTATGGAATAGTTATTGTAATTTCTCTTACATTTCTAGCATTTCCATTTAAAGCCCACTTGTAGCTGTAACCCCATCTCTTATAAACGAGCCAGGACTTAATGGGTGAAGGTTCAGTATTACACTGGTCATTGTTACTGCTCAAAAAGAGTTCATTATAGTCATTTTTAGACTTTGGAGCATATGTTAACATTTTATATTCCCTCTAGTCATTTTTAGACCTTGGAGTGAATGTTAACATTTTATTTTCCCTCTAACAAACATAGGATATGATATTGAGCAGGTCTCAGTGAGTCTTGATTTATAACATGTATCCTTTCACTTTGGACAGTCCTAAGATTTGTACCTGAATTTAAATATCATCAGTGCATGCAGGAGGCAAAATAAAATACAATAAAAACCTGTTCACATGAATTTGAAGTGACAAAAATTAAATGTGAGTGTAAGCAATGTGTGTACTAATTCCAGTTCCATTTATATGAAAACAATTAAAAAGTTAACAATATTCCACCTTCTGCAAGCCAATTTCACTGACTGACTGAATTTCTTCCCCCACCAGGACATCACCCAAGCGATAAAAACCCGATGACACAATGTGCCACCATGTGGATGAGGATCGCCGCGGAGAGGTTCCAGAAACCGTGTTCAGACAATTCGCCATATTGCTGCCCCTGGCAAAAGCCAGGGTGGGGCTTCAAATAACAAAAAATTTCGTCCTAAACAGGACGAAAGTAGATATGATGTATAGAACTTACCAATTTCACTGGGAGCAGCGTTCAGTTATATTTGTAGTCTTGTTTATTTGTGCCAAGTTTATTGGCTGATTTTTGTGTATTTGTACTCGGGTTGGTGGCTTAGTGTCCCTATCTGAGTGAACTGTCCATTCCTACATGTGTAGGTCCCATTTTGATTGTTTTGCCTGCTCTTCTTGGTTTTGTTTCCTTGTTCTGGTTGTGATAGGCGTCAATCTTTTTTAAAGTCTGTGCTAACTGGGGACTTATAGATAATAATTCCACCCGGCTCATTAGCATAGTTGGTTAAACCTGAATTTGTAGCGACCAGCTGACGAACTCATTGTGGTCCAGGTTCATGCCGGAGGTAGAAAAGCCAAATTTCTTCCAGATTTATGGTATCTATCATGGAATCAAGGCCAAACAGTTGCGATATTCATAGTACGAAGCCAAAGGGTTAACTACTCATGGTTTCTAGATATTAAAAAAAAAATAAAAAAATTAAGACAATGACAGTATAATAATTTGGTTCTCCTTGCAATAACGGTCGCTACTTGGACGGCGACGGCCGCTTAGTCGGAGTTCAGTCGCCTGTCTGCAGTGCAATTATGGAGTGGACAAGGCACAAATCACAAAACACAGTCTAGACCACTCGCTGGGACTCACATTAGCCTAACCCTAACCCTAACCTAAACCCTAACCCTACCCCTAAATATGTCATTTGTGTCGTTCCCTCTTTTCCACTCCGTAATTGCACTGCAGCCAGGGGACTGAACTCCAACTAAGCAGGCGCCGCCGTCCAACTAGTGACCATTATTGCAAGGAGAGCTAATATTTCCTACTGGGACCAACAATTTGCTCACATTACTCAAGTGTTTTTTCTGAAGCCAGTATGTGTTAACAAGTTGTTACTTTATTGTCCAGCAGAAGAAACAGATGGAGATGTACCAACTCACAAAGAAGACAATTACAAAATATGAAAAAAAAAAATGAAAAGAACTTGGGGAAAAGCTGAAGGAGACAGCTTTGGGAGATCAGCAAACCAGATGTTATAAAAACCTTTCTGATTTAGTTAACAGTGGGAAGGCTCAAAAAGACCATCTTGGTCACAATCAAGGCTGTTCAACTGGTAGCCCTTGGGTCAAATCCAGTGCGCAAAGGCCTAGCAAGTGACCTAAGGATCATTACCAAATGTATGATGATATTTCTGTTTCGGGGCTTAGGCCTGTGCACACCTCAAATTTCAACATTTAGGCCCCTGAGTAAACTTAGCTGAATAGCCATGGCCTAAAAAGAATAGTACAGCGTGAGTGACCAGCAGATCTGGCTGACACTCAACAAGCAGGGGAAAGACAAAACAATCAGACACTTGGACTGTTACTGGTACCACTGGAACTGGAACTCTGCCTAATATCTGATGATGGGGATGGAAGGTTTATGTGAATGTTCTGAGTTCTGTATTGTTAGTTCTCAACTCAGCTTGGAGAATATTTAAAAAAAACGACTGAATATAATAAGTATACTTTTATTTTTCTATCAAATCATTAACTCTTTGAGTCCAAAGGAACACATCAAACGTTCATAGGTTCCTACCTAGAAGCCCAATGAATGCATGATGCGCCGATTTCATTACTTTTTTTTACTACCCCCTGGGCCTGTGATGCTAAACCCCCTGGGACTCAAAGAGTTAAATTACCTCCCCCAGTTTTTCAAACCACATACTACAAATATCATTCATTTTATAGTTAGATTATCTGTGTATTGAAAAGTCTCATTTGTAAACTTAACATGTTAAAGATGTGAACCTGCATCATGAAACAATTTTATATATAAATGTATTTTTCTTTACACTTCCAAAATTCACAACATACCTCAGAGTTGCAAGAGTGGTACTTTACATACAACATATCTGAGAGTTGCAAGATTGATACTTTACATACAACATACCTGAGAGTTGCATGACTGGTACTCTACTTACAACATACCTGAGAGTTGCATGACTGATACTCTACATTGTCTCCATAACAATATTCAGCCCTGCAACATACCAAAATATTTTACTTAATATCCAGATTACTACTATGAGTCCTCAAAGAAAATAAGACCCTGGTCCTTTATTCATTTTTCACAAAATAAAACTTGCTGTTATATTAATTAGGCTTAAGTTCACTGGGAGTCTATTTTTTCTTTTCATTTAAAAACAAATCTGCATTATAATATCATTTATTTGCAATGTAAATGTCAGTGTCAGCAGTAGATCCCAGTGTCGGCATCTGTGACTTAGGCGTTGCGAAGGTGCTTTGAAATGCTGGGGTGCCGGGTTCGATCCCAGCTGCAGGCCTTGCACCTTGAGTTGTGTCAGGGTTCGCCCTGCTATGGGACAGTTCAGGATGATGATGATGAATCTTGTCATCGTACCCTGCGACCCTTAGTGACACTCAATACGTGCATACACACGTAGAAACGAGCATGAGCGGACTTCGCACATGTGTGCACATTTTGGACCGGACGCTGAACGCTTGCTTGGGGGACTGCTAGGAAACTGGACGTGGGACGAGAGTGGATTTTTGACTGACCGTTTGTTTTTGACATGAAGATAGGTACCAGCGTAGTGATTAGATGTAACGTGTTCTGTTCATAGTTTCATGTAAAGTAATAGTTGTAACTAGAAGCCAGACCATGCTTTGCTGGTGGCGTTAACACTGTCGACGCACTTAGGCCTACACATTGGCGCATGCCATAACGTCTTTGGCATCGAGATATAGCGGGTTGAGCTGGCACTGTACGGGAGAGTGGTAGCGGCTCAGAGCTTAGTTCATAAACGTGTAAAGGCGCCTCTAAGCGATTTTAAAGTTAGACGCGGCCTGGGTTTTGAATAAGGAGCGCTACTCCTCCTGGGGTGTACCACCACTTCGTTTGCATCTTTGGTAATAAAGATTGTGTGTGTGTTGCAACAAGTGTTTGGCTTGAGTGTGTTTGTACGGTGTTTTCCTGTCATTGGCCTATAGCAGAGCCAATGGAATCGAGCCCTAGACAGTTAGGTTTCTGACAGGAAAGTGGGGAGCTCTTACCGTGGATTTTGTGGGAACCCAACGTGCTTAGTCAATAGCTGATAGGAAAGGTTAGGTATTTGTTTTTCCGTAAATATTTTTGATAGGTGAAATGGGAATTTATTGTTAGTCCGTCTACATGTTTGTTGTTTAACATGACTGTATGTGATTAGAGGTAATAACTGTATGTGTTAGGATTGTGTCGTGACGACGGATAGGGATTTAGGACGACATAGACAGATAGACATAGTGTGATTGTTTTACAAGTTGCGGTGTGCAAGTCCAAGAAGTCATCGAGGCCTGTCGTCCTCGTCATCATCAAGTGTGTCATCAACATCCACGTGTTCTTTGGCGGCCATGTCTCCCAGACTGGAGTGCAGATAAGTTTTTGTTGTTTTGATTTTGGTGTTTGTGTCCTGGTCAGTTCTCCAGTCCGTGAGATTCCTTCTCGATCTAGTTGGTTGATCGGCGCCGTTCATTATCTATCGTTCTTGGCTATCCTTTCTCATCAGTCCTATTGTTGTTTTCGTGTTTTGGAAAAAAAAAAAATTTTTTTGCGGCACACACATCAGTCATTCTCCACATCTACAATTGTAAGAAGTATTCTTCGGATTCCTGATCCAATATTTTTCGAACTGTCTACATCCAAATTGCTTAAAAAATTGTTGTCGTATTACTGTGATGATGTAATTTGTGATATTCTTTATTGAATATTACACTGTAAATTTGTGTTTAGTTCTCGGATTAATTCGAGATTACATTTACAGGTCCGGCTGTAGTTCGGATATTCGCGATTTTTATTTTCTCCCTCTCCAATAGGATTGTGCAGTGAGTTTGTGGTTGTAGTTGTATACTTGGTATTGGTTTGATTTTGTACTGATTTGTTTGCTTGATATTATACACGAATACACCATGTCATCTCTTGCCGAGTTTATTGAAATGGCCAGACAGCATGGGCTGACTGGAGAAAAGGCTTTGGAATGGGCCGATAAAAAGTATACAGATCTCAGAGAGAGACTAGATCGGGCAGACGAGAGAGAGTTTAAAAAGCTCGAACTGGAGGCTATGCAGAAGGCTAAAGAAATAGAAGCTTGTACTTTAGAAAAACAGTTAGCTGCCCAAGCTGAACTGAAAGATAAGGAGGCTGCTTTGAGACTACAGGAATTAGCTGCCCAGGCAGAGGCTAGAGACAAAGAAATTGCCGCTCAAGCAGAGAGAGATAGAGTACAGATGGTCATTAAAGAACGTGAGTTATCTCACACAATGATAATGAAGGATAAAGAGACCATGAGTAACGTTGAGTTACAGAAGGAAAGACTGGCAATGGAACTCAGGGCTAAAGAGTTGGAATTGGACAGAAATGCTGAAATTCAAATGGAAAAAGCTAAATTGAAAGCAACTGAACCATCATTCAAAAAATATCAAGGCCTAATTAAATATTTTGGCCAGGGAGACTCCATAGCGGCATGGACGCAAAACTTTGAGTGTATGGCAAAACATGCAAATATGCCTGAGACTGAATGGTCAGTAGTATACAGAAGACACCTTAGTGGCGAACCTTTGAAACTATTAGAGACTATGCCTGAAGAGAAATTGAACGACTACGATTATGTAAAACGTAGAATTCTACAACATTTTGCTTTGGATGAAGAGTCCTATAGGAACAATTTCAGGAATATGCAACCTAAACCTGAACAGACATTCACCGATTATGTAGCAGATGTAGAAAACACCTTCGATAAATGGATTGCATCAGCTAAAGTGGGAAAATCCTTTGAACTACTTAAAGATTTGCTAATTAGGGATAAAGTGTTATCAAGCGTGCCTCACAGCATGATGACGTTCCTAATCGAACAAAAGCCAGACAATGTGAAGAATATGGATATAACAGGAACAGCTTACTACAATGCGCATAAGAACATATTTTCTTTCAGTAAAAGCACCGACTTAAATTATGGAGCTGCTGTACAACCGACCTACAAGAAAAGACAATTCCACCAGGATGGAGAAAGAAAGCCTTTTAAAGAGCATAGAGAACGAAGATCCTACAGAGAAAAGGGCCCACTAGTGACATGCGTCCACTGTAAAAAGGAACATGGTAGATAGCAATGGTGTGATGAAAATCCCAAATTTCCACAACATGTTCAAAATATAGTAAGGAGAAAAGCCAACAAGTTACGTTCAGGTGCTTTCCCACTTGATTGTCGTTTCTGCCATTCAATTGGTCATTTGCAAGATAAATGCCCACATCGTGTACCAAACCATCAGGGTGTTGCAGCTGAAAGTCCAGCGGGTAGTGAGTGTGAAAGTGAGAGTGTCATGTCTGATCCAGAAAATGATACGCAACCAACAGCCTGCGCTGCAGAACTTATGAATTTTACAGACATAAAATGTGAAGTGTGTAAGTCATTTAATGTGAATGGAAAGCTTACGTGTGGTCACGAGATATTAGCTATAGGGGACGCTAACGCTGCTACTAGCTTTGAGGGGAAGCTGAACTTGAGTAGGGGCTTTGTGAATGGTCATGAATGCTCAATTTTAAGGGACACGGGTGCCACTGTCTTAGGTATCCGGAAGAGTCTAGTAAAGCCCTGCGATTATACAGGAGAGTTCATTATATGCCGCACTTTCTCAGGTACGAAAGAAAGATATGAGTTGGCATGGGCTAACCTCAAATCAGCCTATTTTTGCGGAGTGACCAAGTTTGCTGTGCTGTCAAACCCTGTCGCCGATGTGATTCTGGGCAATTGTAAAAACATCAAGCTTCTGACTGAAAGTGAAGTATTACAATGGCAGAGTGATAATGTTGCATGTAATGTTGTTACAAGACAACAAACAAGTAGAGAGAATGATGTGAGAAAGCGCGAGAGAATGGATAATATTTTAAACCTTGCTCATTCTGATCAACCAAATGTAACAGATGAGTTCATCTCAAAGCAAAGAGATGATGCTACATTAAAAAAATGTTTACAAGTTGCAGACGGGTCTAAAAATATTTCAAAAAAGGGACAGTGGTCTTTTGGGTTTAAAAATGGTATCCTCACCCGATTCTACAATAAAGGGGTACATACACTTAACCAGACGGTACTACCCGTTGCTTACAGACAGAAAGCGCTAGAACTGGCTCACGACTCGCCATTAGCAGGACATATGGGAACTGAGAAGACTAAGTGCCGACTTCTCAACGAGTTCTACTGGCCAGGCTTTTGCAAAAGCGTAACAAACTATTGCAAATCATGCCACTTGTGTCAGACCATGATACAAAAGGGTAAACAGAGGAAAGCCTTGGTTCAACCAACTGACCTGACCGAAAGACCATTTCAGAAAGTGGCAATAGATCTCGTAGGCCCATTAAATACAGTCTCCCATAAAGGAAATAGATACATCCTAACAATGGTCGACTTTTGTAGTAGATGGCCAGAAGCTGCACCACTTAAGAACATCACTTCTCAAGATGTAGGAGAAGTCTTGTTTCAATGGTTTGCTAGGTTTGGTTTTCCCAACGAGATTCTTTCAGACAGGGGCACCCAGTTTATATCCTCTGCAATGCAACACTGTAATAAATTGATGGGCATTGACCAAGTTTTTACAAGTCCATATAACCCAGCAGCAAATGGGATATGTGAGAATCTAAACGGAAATCTAAAAAGAATGCTGGCAAAAGTAACAGCAGAAAAACCAACAGACTGGGACATAATGTTGCCAGCCATTCTATTTGCCTACCGAGAGGTACCACAAAGTAGTACTGGATTTTCCCCGTTCGAACTTGTTTATGGTGCAAACCCAAGGGGACCCTTATCCATCTACAATGAGTCATTAGTGGGAAGGGTCACAGACACCACAACTGTTAGTGAATATGATATGGTGACCAACTTAAGGGATAAGATCATGAATGCATGTGTAATCGCAAGACAGTCTTTAGACCAAGCAGGAATAATCTATCGCAAGTATGCAAATCAAAATGCCAAAACAATTACTCTTGCAGAA